AGGGCGACTATCATGGATTCTTCTAATCTTCACCAGAAATACGCAAGTAATTTCGGTCAATCCTCGTGCGAATGTTCAAATGCGGCGTCGGCGGATCCCATCGCGGCTCTGGTCGCTCTGATCGAGGGTGAAACCCTGCTGGTTTCATGAATATTCCCGTCGAGCCCAGGTATAATCATTGGATAAACATGATCCCGCTACTAAGTGCGTGTGTAGTGTTGGCGTAATAGGTGAGACATTCGCGGTCTCGGAGCTTGCGAGGGTTCGAGTTGCGATTACAGGGACGTCTTCGGTAGATCAGCCACGGATGAAGAGAGCGAACGATTCGTCGTCCTGCTCCAGAGTTTTTCCCTGTCGGCAAAGATTGCCCGAACTCGCGAGTCGAGCCACCGCACTGGCGCGAGTGAACATCGCAAGCTAGTGTTCGGATCTCGTTTGACGAAATGGGCAATATTCCTGATCAGAAAGTTCGATCATATTGGAGGCATGTCGCTGGCCACCCTCCACACCCACATGAACACTAGCTCAGACAGCAACGTTTCGCGCTCCGTGGTTCCCATTTCACTCTCAAGTCTTGGCGTTGACTTCTTCAGCCTTCGAGCGCCAAATGAGATATATCCTTATGAAATTCGAGATTCCGGAGAGAGAACCATAGAAGCTAACTTTAAATCGTGGAGCGTTCAAGCTCTTCAACGCTTGTCCCTCACCGACACGCTCGACTGATTTCGTGAAGCCTGTTCAGCTCCATCCACGACTATGAGGACGCGACCTGCTCTGAACAAAGACGATGCTCAGCGCCGAAGCGTTTCGCGTCTTATCCACAAGCAGAATGATAGCCCGCGGATATGATATGATAGCAATAATATTATGAATCACAACCGTTTCAATTGGAGAGGAGGGACCGAGACGTAGAAATAAGATATCGCAAAGTTCCTCTTGCCCCGTGGAAGAAGCAGCGAGCGGGTGGACGCGCGGTCATTGTTCTCTCTTCTGGAAGGCGGATCTTTCGCAAATGCCGATAAGTGAACGAACTAAGGTCGAGCCAACGCAGCATTTCCTTCTCTATTCCAAAAGCCGAAAGATTAAAATATCGATTGGAATATTCGAGCAAGAAAAGCATTCGGCACGAACTCCCTCCTTATTTCACTTTTTTTTCTGTGAGCAGAAAATCGCCGTGGTCGTCACTCTCTCCCGAGCAACTCTCAGTGAGGGGAGCTGCCGAAAGTCGCTCGTTTGAGGGAACGGCGTCGGGTGGAGAGCGCTCGAAACAACGGCACAACCGGTAAATGCTCAACCAGTCCACAAAGGAAGGAGTCAGGATTCCGGCATCGGAAGCGAAGGTGGCTCCACATTGCTAAAGCTCGATGGTAGCGGGAGCGATACAGGGAAGGCGCGGGTTTTCCGTCTCGTTGTGTCTTGTCTTCATTTTCTCTCTCCCTCCATTGATCAGTGGCTTCCTGCCAAAAGTTGTTTTAGCTGCTGCTGCTGCAGCAGCCGCTCCGATGAGTTCCCGCTTTCAGCGAAGAGCAAGTCCCTCTTTCTCGATCAATTGCTGTTGTTCGCTAGCCGGTCCCCCGAGCAGCCGCCCGATGCCGATGGCGGCGTCCTCGTCGTCATCACTGCCGTCGTCACCGTCTTCGTCTTCGTCGTTTTTCCATTTCCATCTATGCCAGCGAATGTTTCAGGGCTTGTTGCTCGCCTAAGTGTCGATCTGAGAGTCCGGCCTCAGGGCATGCGCGAACAAGGCCGCATCCACACGCGGTCCCGTTAACGTGGCGCTCTGTGCAGAAGGGCGGCCAGGAAGGAGAAGTCACTCGATGTCATCGTTCCTCACATGCCCAGTTCCATCCTTGGAATTCATTGTCGGTCGAGCAAGGCTTCTCCGATGAGTTCATAATAATCAGATGAATGCTCTGGAATTCGACGTCGTATGCTCGATCACTCGGACTTTCGTCTTTGTTCGAGAGTCGAAAGACGCGGAACTCCAGATCATTCGTCGTTGACTGTACTCGAGATCTGATTCGCCGGGCGGAACTCCCGGCATTCCTCATTTATCGTGGCGACCGCGGTCATTGATCGCGCCCCGTTGAGCGGCACTTGAATGGGACCCTGGAATCGATTCCAATACGCGCCGATTCCCGGAACTCACGGGTCCTGTATTTTCCGAGACGTTCGAGCAGGCCGGCAAGGACATACATATGAGTTGATTCCACGGGCAGATTCGATGCACGCGGGCTCCTTCATCGGGATCAAGAGACTTTTTGGGACAAGGTGATGACTGTGCAAAGCGAGGAGCTAGGGCACCGTGCAAGACACTACACAAATGAGGCTGAAAATCTTGGATTCGAGCGCAGAGGATTGAATGAGGCTTGCAGTAGCTCGTGAAGGGTCTGAAAATCGGAGCACCGTGTCTGGCTTCTCGGTAGCCTTCGTGCAGAAGCTAGTCGAAGTTGACTATTAGTATGACTTTTGATAGACGACAGATCGTCGCGACGTCTCCCGGTTGTGCCAAAGGAATCGAGATTCTCACCGAGCAGCCGGCGGGGGAACTGCTAACTGAGTATTGAAAATTTAAATGGAGCTGGTCACCTTTTCTCTCTGTTCACATGCCGAATGTTATCGGAAGACGAGTTAGCACGATATACCGTCGTGATCTCTCGCGGAGGATACCCGGTGCCATCTCTTCAGTGGAGCGAGATTGGTCAATGTTCATTCGATGTGTAGAAGATTGCATGAATCCTCATTTTCGGCTCGAATCACCAGACTGCTGAATAACGAGCGGGAAGAAGGAAGGGTGGCTCCTCCAAAAACGAAAATACGGATCCGGCTGCCGCTCGATGCATCGGCCGGCCGGCCGGCCGGCAAGCCCCTCTGTCTTTCCGTTCATGCGTCCGTTTCTCGTTCTGACAGCTCGCTGGCCATTGCGGTGTTCATTCAGTCGGTAAGCAGCACACAATATGACACTTATTATTGTCGTTGGTGCAACAACGGCGGCGGCGGCGACGGTGCTTATTTATGTTATCGCCGCTCCAGACGGACAAATTGCGCAGCCTCACGGAATCTCCGACGAGAACTGATCTATCTAAAAATCCTAACAGCTCGCTGTCACTGTGACTCGCGTAAGCTAACCGTTGTCGGTGGCAGTGGCATCGGCATGCCTCGGATTTGTGTCCCGCTCGCTCGCTTGCTCCCTCCGAGTGGCGCTCACGCCAGACAGAGAAAACAGCAAGCCAACCGAGCCGTCCGGGAGCGAGGCGAGCTAGCACTGAGCTTCTTTGCGCCCGCCATCACTGAAGTCCATCACAGCGCCACGATCTAATTGTGGAGCATCGGCGGCGGTAAAGGCGGCAGTAGCAGCGGCAGAACGATCGAGAAGAAGAAAACGGAGAAGACGAAGAAAACAACGATGACGACGACGTCGACGACCAAGACCTGTTCCTCGTCGCTTCGCATCCACTAGCAGTCCCCAAGACACCGCTAATAATTTGGTCCGATGCGAATGAGCCTCGACTACCAAAAATGCGAGTTCGAACCCGCTCGACGCGAGGTTTTCTCAACTATCTGAATTCTACTCGGTTGAGATTCCCGGTTCCTCGTCAATGATGTCTAAGGGCTGGAGGGTTCATCTTCTGTTAGGAGCAAAAATGACTTCGACGGCGCAGCGTTGCCTCAGAGACACCCTCGAGAGATTCTCGGCGATTCCCAACACGAGAGGGACCGGGAGAGATTGAGAAGCGGTTCGTGGTCAAGCTCGGAAGTGGAAAATGAGATTCCGATCCGCTGTCACCCAGCTGATCACTCATGGCTCTCGCCGAGGAGAGCTGCTCGGACAAAGTCTCTCCTTCAAAAATCCGCTGGTTTTAATGAGAATCTCTCCTTTCAGTTGGCTCACAACCTCAATGAGGCGAGGGTAAGCGAAGAAAAATTCTTTTGAGCTATTCCCGACTTGGTTTGATGACGTATTCTCGGGAAGCAATTTCGATGGTAGAGGAAAATGTGCCCGATCCCAGAGTCTTCCGAATGGAAGTGGTTTTGGAAACTGAGGGGAATAATGGAATCAGCGTTGCGAACTTGAATATATCGTGGTTTCTCATTGCGAAGCCTATTCTCCGACGACAGCAATTACCTCAGAAGATAAAGGTCGCGCTCCCTTGCTGATGAGGCTTTCTACGCTTATCTACACTTTGAAGTGGAGTTTTGTAGTTGAGTGATGGGAAGTTGAACGTGTTTCCTTTTACCCATCTCAATCCTCTTGCCTGACGCTTAAAACTCGCCGCCCTACGCCTTAAGACAAACATGTGCACGCGAGCGGAAAAACGGCCGTTTTGATCTTCTTGCTTCGGATACACTCCGCGTCGCTGCCGGAAAGCTCCGTCGATTCGGGATCTTACTGCGGAAATGAAATCGACCCGAGTTCTGTTTCCACCATCTGACCAGTCCTGCTCCTCTCAATCAAGGCCATAAATCAGTGTGAGCAGTGTCACTGCCGATTGATTCTGATGATTTTCATCGTAGAGTCCTGCGACCCGTCGGGCTATCTACGAGCTCGGTGTCGAAATGGTGGAGCTAGCAGCGAACTCCAGGAGAGGATCTGAATCCCGCGGGCAATTGATTAGCGCTTTGAGAAAGAGATATTTGCTGGGAAAGATCCGTAATGCTGATCTCTGCTTCAATCAGTGAATTAATTTCAACCTACAGAGAATTGGTTGTTTCTCGTGACCGAATCTCAGCATTGTCGGGATACCCATGCCCCGAGGAAGCAGGCGCCGCCAACAAGAGGAATTTGTGGATTCCGCTGCTCGTCTTCGGATGTACATGCGTACTTAACGCGTACTCTGAACTGAGTAGTCCTCCGCGTAACGACAGCAGGAATCTGTTGTCACCGGCCGAGGCATGCATCATATATTAAAACGTACTAGATGTTCTGTCTATGACATCTGACAGGCGGGGAGTCGCTGGGAGAGGAGGTCGAGCGGCCCTCTCCGTGCTACCGTTTTCGCATGGAATGGCGAAGTGCCGCCAAACAGATACTGGAAAAGTTTGTCTCGGTGGATGTTATTCCTGTTCGCGGCAGGGTGATAAAGCGACAGATAATCAATGATGTGCACAATGGATACGATATTATTGTGTAGACGCGAGTGATAGGAGTGAGCGCACATTCGGCTCAAATCATGAAGTCCAGCGTGGACTTGGGCAGTCTGCTTGATACCGGCTATCCTGACAAACTGACACTGATGGTGGTAAGCTCTAGCTCTCCGAGAACTCTTCACTCAGAATAATTTATCCTCACGACGGAGTCCATGTATCAGCCAGAAGAATACGGCGGCAATCTTGGCACCCGGCTTCCCACCGTATGCCTCATTCTTTGTAGAGATGAGTGGATGGAGGAGGGCAGGCGTCAAAACATTCGCTCATGGTCACCTCAGAAGGTATCCGAGTCGGACTCGTCTCGTGGGGGCTCTCTGATGCACGATTCGCTCCTGGAGCTCTGACACTGCGGAGTGAAAAAGGATGGGCAAGGTCATGGTATCTTCGAATATCGAGATCTGGAGTTATTTTTATGATATGTGGGCCTCTCAAGGAATAGTCTTATGTCTTGAGGCTTACAATCTCTGGGGGTCACTTTCGGCATGGCATAGAAAAACGTAGGGGAGAACTTCGAATCGCCCGGATGGTCAAGCTTGGAAAATCGATATGGGTCCAGAGACACGCGGGAAAAACCATTCCGACGAATGAAGGCCTCCAGCGGAGGGTCATCCAAGTCTGACCGAGCTTTCTGAGACCGGATTATGAGCAAATATTCCTATAAGCTAGCATCTCCGGAGCTGATTCGGAGAGCGCAGAAGATCTGCTTCCTGACGGGCAGTAATCGCTTCGACTTTGCTCCTCGTAGATGCAAGCCGAAGTTCCCGAGTCGTGGACGATAAAGATCCAGAAACCACTCAACGATCGTGCAGATGCTCCGAATATATTCACACAAGGATGATCGGACTCCGATAAGATCGAACTACAACATTTCACTTACAATACTCCAACTTACAATACTTCAACTTACGATAATCACCTGCAGTACTCAAGCTTACAATACTTCACTTGATACCCTGCAGAGGGTACACTCTGTAGACCAAGAATTGGACCGCGATGGAAGTCGTGAGTTCCATGGTTGGAACGATCTCGAATGTCATTCAGTCTCGACAACGGGATAAGAAGAAAATAAGTCTGATGTTCCCTTTTCCCCCTACAAGGATATCGTCAAAGGATTAGCGACCGTTTTCCTGGGCGTTGTAGATGTCCGCGAGCAACTGCATCGCGGGAATCGAACTTTCTCCCAGGTTCGCTGTGTGATCTGGCCAATTGATTGAATGATAGGAGTTCTCTCGTCCCCCCGTGTACCTTTACTCGGGGAAGACTGGCAAACGTATGCCCAATAACAAGGGGGTCGGTATGTGTTGCTCGCACAGAAAAAACTCCCCAGCGCGACCGCCCTGTCTGAGATAGCTGACCTTCTGGCTCATCCTTCGAGGCTCGATTCCATCTGCTTCCTTGAAAGCCCGCTTGCTGCCTTGTGGGTTGTGTCTGGCGATAGCGGCAAAAACATTATACTATCCCTCATTTTTCCTGCGATGGACGCGAACCTCCACGGAAGACTCGGGAGTTCTCGAGCAATCCGAGTCGATAATCCTCTGCTGCTTTCCGGACTGATGCGATGGGCTCGTTCCGCCGAGGAACCGATGTTCACGGACAAGCGTCCACTGCATGATAGGTAGAAACGCGGAAGAGAAGGACACCTTGTTTCTTGTCCGTTTCGTCCGTTCCTTGGTGTTCCCCAAGAAGTGTCTGCCTTCTGGAATTTTGGAGGAAATACCTCTAATTGAAAATTAAATCTCCGCTCGATCTCTCACTCGAAGCACCGAAGCTCGACGGCATCGGCACGAGCGTGAGCCGCGGGGAACGGGGGGCACTTGAGCGTGCTCATCGGGAATAGTCGAAGGGTTGAATTAATTCAATGGAATCGGCAAAAACATCCGATGGAGTGTCCGCTTCCGATGTCCGCGCGGACATCGCGCTTTTTCGGAAGAAAAATGCCGTCTCAAATCGCGACCCTAGTCATCGGTGATGAGTTATGATTGACATCCACTTCAATCAGAACCGTTCAATCGATCGCAGGGAGCATATGGAGATCCTGGACTCATCTCTGGTCCCTCTGAGCTTCGGTACGAAGAGCTAGAAAAAAAACGTCAAGGAGTATTAGCCCATAGGTTTATCGGTCGTAGCTACCTATGTATATCCGAAACACTTACAAAGAGCATGTCTACGCCTTCTGATTGCATGAGCACGCTGTCGCTGCAGCAAACGACTTCGGCTGGATTGGCCTGCTGGAGTCGCGCCGGCAGAGCGTCGAATCGAGTTTTTCCCGTTACCACAAGCGGCAGGGATGTTAATCGAGAAGTCAAACTAATGGTTGAAGTTCGAAAAATAATCGTTAGGGAGAATGAGACAAGAGACCAAAGATGAGCGAGAACACTCCCGAGGAAAATGATCCGGATCTGGCGACGAGCACGACTCCAACAATTTCTACTGAATCTGTCGCTAATGTCGCGGATTCTGTGTGATCACTCAGGTGTCAGAGGGACTCGAGACTGCTCAACGCAACCTGGAAAAGATAGTCGGGGAACTGAGGCTCGCTTCGATCTCCTCCGGCGGATTTCGCAATTGGAAACTTAGCAGAGGACAAAAAATTTCTCGACTCCGTTCAGTCAGACTATCTTCACGCAACTCTGTGACATTTCATAATACGTTTTTATCTCCTCTTCCATGCCAATCTTCTGAGCCCGGCAAGCGAAAAAGCGTACCGGATTGGCGCCTGAGGGCAGGAGAGAAGATCCGACCCACTGGTGCCAAGCTGTCTACATCGATGTCGGGACGACGATCGAGCAGGCGAATGAGCACGCCGCCGATGGACTTCGTTTTCTCGTTCTATGATCTCAGTCTGCCTAGTAGTACTAGGCAGACTAGGCTAGTACGCGATCAGCTCCGTCAGTTTCGCTTCCTTGTGTTCCGGCAATCGAGACCGGGGTAGCATGTGATTCGCGTCTCGGAATAGAAAGACAAAATTCGAATCGCTGCCTGCAGAGTCGCGCGTGGAATGAGCCTCCAATCTCTCATGGGCGCGATTCCGGAAGAGAAGCTGAGGGGAGACTACCTCATAGGCCTCCGCATGAGACATGAGACGCTGCCTCGCGGCGAAAGTTCCTGTATAGGTCGGATCGGCTGTGGTCAGATGAGTACTTCATTAGATCAGCAATCGCTGACCTGATTTCGCCCTTCACGGCTCGATCGGAAGATACTCCGGCAATTCATTGGAATAAAACCATCAAGTTTTGAGCGTGGAATGCTCACGTCGTCGTCGTGAGCGGAGCGCTCCGTTCAACCTGGCTGAGTTATCTGTGCGCGCATAAGTGTCATACGTTATTCAAGTTTCTGTTCCGCCCGCCCCGTGTGGGAGTTTCTGCTTCACTGCGTTCTATCGCCCTCCCTCCTTCCTTGGTTGGTAGCCTGGATGGCTTCTCGCCGGCCGGCTGAGTTGCTGGCTAGCTAGCTCTTTTGCCTCCTCCATCTCTCCCTTCTCCCTTTCGGTCGCTCTTCCACATCAGCAATAGCTACAGCGGAGACGTTCACTCACGACATTCGGAATAATACTATATTATGATTTCAAGACGAGGGTCATTCGTTGAATGGACGTCCGCGGACAGAAAGTCTGAGCGATATCAACACGTCCTGATGGCTCCGACCGCTGGCTTGTCGAGCACAAGGAATTCATGCGAGAGCATATGCTCCACTGTCAGATGGTGAACGAGCGACAATATGCAACAGAAGAGAGTATGCGTTCGTTCATCAAAGTCTTCGCTAGTCTCGACATGGAGGAGAGCGTCGAAGAGCTGCGTCCCCGAGCTGAATCCGCTGACTGCTATACAGACGAAAGGGAACCAAGACGAAGATAGAAACAGAGGAAACGAATCTTGTGCTCCAACCTGACGTTCAAGCCAGTCTGGATGACTCTGTCCCTGAGCGAGCATTCCAATATCGACTCGCCCAACAATGAGGATGGACGCTGGAGTCGTCGAATGCGCATCGGATGCACGAGAGAAGGAATGCGAGGATTCCACAGATTCTAGCTTAGCTCCCAGGAGCCCCACCACTCGGGAGGTTCCGTCTGACTAGCTGTGTTTGCCTTGGCGGCTTCACGGAAAATCGCTCTCTCAGATCACATATACATAGCTTCCGACGTCCGGGGATATGCTGCAGTGTTCCATGCAATTCTTGGATATTGAGTTCGACCGCCGCCAGATTAGCTGTGCGGATTCCCGAAAGCGGAAATTACCATCGATCCCCGTGGATTGGTCCTTCGCGTCACTTGTAACGCGGATTCGCAGTTAATGTGCGTGTTTGTGTGTCAGTTCGGGAGATTGGGCTGGAGTTTAATTGCGCTTCGGTGCAGCAGTGGACACGGGCAGCGGTCCAGTCGACACCACGACGAAGCTAGCGACTCGGTTGTCTGTCTTCGTTCTCACATTTCGGCTATGGCCTCATTACACCACGAAGAACAAGGAACGCTTCTTGGTCTTTTTGAATCATTCTCGGCGACGGCGCTCGCACTTATTCATTTGGAAGGGCAAGGAAAGTCTGACGGCCAGCTCATCTTGGTCTCCTCAAAATGGCCGGCCACTCCCCAGCTGTAAACTTCGTTTGGTTTTTTCGGTCGACTCTTCGTCTCAATGTATAGTGACATCGATTTCTAGCTGAATCTGGATCGTTACGGTGATCCGCACTCGTTCGACGTCCACCTGATCCGCCGTGCGGACGGTCTGGAAACAATACTGAGAGCTGATTGAAGACGAGAGACATTAATCAATGAGACCTCACGAATGTGCATTGTATATCCTTCGCAAGAAAACCTCCGATGCAAACCACCGCAATCGCTGAATGAGGTTCAATTTGATCGAGTCTCAGCGTTCTTCTCGTTCTATTGCAGGAGCGTCGAGACATGGCGTCGGGAGGCCCGACTGGAGGCTTGGGCCCGGGCTCGGGGGGTCCGGGTGGATTCAGCGCACCCCGCCTCACAACGACCGCTGATTTCCAACCACCGTATTTCCCTCCTCCCTATAATCACCTGCCCCCGCAGCAGCAGCTGGATTTCCAATCCGCACAAGACCCTTATGCGAATCACCTAAATTCTCTACATCCAGCATCTGCTCAACACTACCACCAGCTGCATCCCGCTGGAAGAACTCACAACGTTGCGGCCACCCCGACTGGTGAGTTGTGCTCAGGACTCCCGATCGTACTCTGAATCTCGCAATCCGACTCAAAGGCGAGTGATTTTTCAATTTTTAGGGCGACGTCCAGAAGATGATGCCATTCTGCTTGGTGTCGGTGGCATGGGCGCCCCACCCGGGATCTCCTACGATGGCAGAAGAACCGAATCCAGTTACCACCGGATGGACCAACACGACCTTCTTGCTGGCATCCATCAGCAGATCGATGATGGACAAGCCTCAACCTGTTCGTCGGACAACGGCAACCCGAACGACTTCATGGAGGTCAGTGTACTCCGCCTAGCCGTCGTTGTAGATCCTACCCCCGCCCCTCCGTCTAACAATGCGTTTGAGCATAAATCTTATCGTGCACGTTAGCTAAATCAATCAATCAATCAATCACTCGCTCACTCGGACGATCGATCAGAAAGAGAGCGTTGTTTCCGTTCATTAGCATTCGAGACTCCGCCTACCTAGATGAGGAGTCGCCTTATGTTCGGGAGGTGGAATCTGGAATCGATCACTCCATTAGCTCCCCGCGGATTGCTTGGACGGATTTATTGTTTATTTGTTTGTTTACGTGTTCGGCTCCGGACGCAGGGTTCGTGTACGACTCCTCGACCGTCGTCTCCATTGTAGGCTCTTGTCTGCTCCTAGCACTACTTCCACAACATTGCGTTGGAGCAATAAAAATACAGGTTTATCTTATCGGCCACTGGGAATTTCGAGGGGTGAACGCATTGTCCGCCGGTATTTTCCACAGCAGGTGCAGCTTTGGTCGATGCTTGCGGTTGTTAATCGATCGTGTTCACGTGTCCAACGCACGTCTGCGCATACCGGTACCCAAGCACGACAGCTCCTGAGTTTAGGTCTACATACATCGATGCGGGAAGACTTTCGTTTCAATAACTCTGTATTTTGACGACCAACCCTGTTTCGAGAGAAACTCCCGCGCCCCACTGGAGGAAGAATCATGGTACTGGGCTAGCGCCGTGGGCTCAATCCAGGAGGAACAATCATTCGCCGCTGCTATGTTCGGGTGCTCGGTCGATTATTATTATTAATGTTGGACACTATCTGATTGCATTGGTCGAAAATCCGGAGGGAAACAATCCGTAGCTCCACGTGAACGCAGCGGTCTTCATTTTGGAGCGACTTTACAAGCCGGCTGTTCCAGCGAATGGTCCAGAGCCGAGAGAGGATAGTCGTCGTCACTCATCATGGAGCTCTTATCTCATTCTCCTTTTTCACCGCGAGTCCCGTTGACTGGTTAGTCGATGCGCTCTCCGAACCGTTGTGCAGACGATGATATTTATTAGTCTCGGACTGTCTGGTAGAGACCCGATCCACAGGCGCCGCGACAGTTTCTGATGCGCCAGTCCTCATGAACGGGACGAGAAATGATTCTCGAGGGTTGAGCGCTCGAAGACTCCGAGCAGTAGACGACGACGACCGTAGTTTTCTGGAAGCCTACCTGGCTGTTCGCTCCTCTGACTGGCCGACCGGCTGGCTGGCTGGCACCACTGCCACGCCGCTGTCTTTGCTGGTGCCGCCGTTGCCGGTTTGTCGATTGGCCGCATAAACTTGACGACGATGTCCAGAGCAAGTAGCGAAATGGAGAAGTAGCGTAAGTCAGCTGCTGCCACCATCGTGGACGTCGCCGTTGCCGCCAATCTGGGCCAGGAAGTAACGGAACGCGTGAGAAAGTGTATATGTCGGTTTCTCGGACGAACCGACGGATAGACCGACAGACAGATGAACGAGCAACCAGTCAGCCCGCTAGTCAACCAGACGGGCTGGCGAGCCGCGAGCCAGTTCCTCTGTCTGTTCATCCGGCCCTTCGTTCGTCGGTACGTTCATGAGTCCGTCGGTCTGCAATCATTTGTCCGGCGGTCGACTACCGGACCGAGTGGTGGATCACAAGTCAGCCCTTCGCCCGGCCGATAAAACGAGGCTATTCACTCAGTACTCGATGCCACCTGATGATGACTGATACGAATACGCCGTACGGAACGCGGATGCGAAGAGCTGGACTTTTCGCAGTTCTCCGGGGGTTGAGCATACAAGCGCGCCGAAATGATTCGGTCGTCCGGCTCCTGGTCGGTAGCTTTCCGCGTATAACCCACGCACTGATTACCGCACGACATCCGTCTGAGAATCAGGCGAGGGGAGAATCCCTACCCCCGATCGGTCTCAACCATCACGAAGACATGGCCCGTCGTTTCTTCTGACTACGAGGAGATCAGAGCAGAAACAAGGATTGCTTCCACCCTGGGAGCTGAGGTGGAGGGGAAGGGGGACGACGCGATCACGCTGAAGCTTACAGTCACCAGTCACGCTAGACGAGAACAATTCCATTGAGAGATTCCGTGGAAAACGTTTCCCCTCGAGGATAAGGGAACTGCCGGACGTCAGAGGAGAACACGCTCTGCATTCGGATGGAGGGTATAATCGTTTTCTTCTCCGTGTCTTTTCGCAGGCTGCTAGCGTCGACGATGGGATCTTCGGCGATCACGGCGTCATACGAAAAGGTGAGCTCGGACTCTGGCTCAGTTTCTAAGCATTCTCAGTTGAGAAAGATTCAGGACTGCATGCGATAGCACGGTTTCATGATGGCTCTATATAGGCTAGTCCCCCTTGATTGTCAGGCTGATGCAATTTCGTCTCCACCGTTCGAACGAATATTCTCTCATATGAGTGGGGCCGATCGGAATATCGTTGGCCTGCCCCAGCCCACATGCCATAAGATCCGAATCATTGTACAATCATGCCAATAGCTCAAAGATTCTTGATCCGGCCCTTGCTTTCCGAAATTCCCGTGTGCGGCCGGATCGTCCTCATGGAGAGAAAGCACATCCGCTATAATCTATGACTCCACAGGCATCGAAACGAGCCTCGCTGCTGGGTAGTTTAGCTCCTCCACTAGTAAGGCACCCTAGGGAAAACGGACACGACGGCACTGCCCAGACGATCGCTGCTGGCGATGTACCGCGGGGATTTTACCGTTAAAGTAGCTCTTCTGCGGCACTGCTGCAGACGGGACGGCGTTGAGGTGCGCCGGCGACTTTTCTCCTGGGCGGCAGCAACAGGATGATTTCTGCTCTGTGCTACGAAACAAGACGAGCGGCTAGATAAGCTCATCCATTCTTCCCTCTCTGTCTCGCTTCAGTTTCATTCGAGACGCCCCCCCCTCCCCCTAGCAGCGTCGACTCGCTCAACTATTGAAATTGGGCATTCAATATATTGTATTCAATGTCAGTACGCGAGGCCAAGAGTTTCAAATGATTTGCGGAGCCGACTGCTGAAAACACAACGATCCTTTATAGAGCCGGACAATCAATTTACCTATCGGGAACTCATTTTCCTTCGTTTCAGGAATACATGGTGGAAAAGAAGGGCTCATGGGACCCGGAGGGCCCGGAATGGGTCTCCCGGGTCAGGTGACTGCCACCGATGTTTTCTGTTCAGTTCCTGGAAGACTATCGTTGCTGAGCTCCACGTCCAAGTACAAGGTGACAATCGGGGAGGTACAGAGAAGACTGTCGCCCCCTGAATGTCTCAACGCGTCCCTGCTCGGGGGAGTTCTCAGACGGTAAGTCGGCGCTAACGAGAGAAGCTGATCGAAGCTCAATGAACGCAATGCTGGTGACAGCAACGGTCTGAGAGCCTTCCTACCCGGAATCTGCTCAGTACAACAAGAGAGTCACGCCGACTTTTGGCGCCGAGAAAAGCTCTACAGCCGCGGGCAGGGGGCTTCATCTAGGAACCCTGAGCTCGAGGAGGAGATCAATAATTTTCCCTCACATTATTTCGAGCCAAGTCGGGGCATGATCGGCCGCGGTCGATATATTGGTCGGCTCGCAGCCATTTAAAATCGTCGAATGGGTCTTAGTTAAACAATTATTATTGCTGCCGTGCAGAGTGCGATTTCAGAACATTCGAGGAGAAGTGCGACCAGCATCACGGCCGCTGTTAGCCGGCTTCTCATTTCGTAACTACCCGGTAGAACGGAGATATCGATGGGGGGCCGCTGTGCGACGCCTAAAGGCTCTCGGCCGGCCTACAGAGGATCGACCCGGACACCGAGGACGGATACTGATTTCCATGTCTAGCCGATATATTGTCGAATGAGCTAAACGGGATCCAGGCTTGTCGTTGGAATCAGTCGTGTCGTCGGAGTTGTAACGAGCGAGATGCGACAGTCATTTTCCTCATTCTTTTCATCACCGAGAAAGGCAGCGGACAAAGTGTCATTAAGTGCGACGTCGAAAAAGGGTCAGTGTTGGCCAATCGGCCGCTGGGTCCGTCGGCCAGCTAGCTGACCGCTGGGCCGGTCGACCAGCTTGCTGTCTGCTCGGCCGAACCAGCCGCTTGTCGACTGAGCTTCATGGTGACGGGTGGAGCCATCACCGGGGAGTAAGCTTGCGTCGGTCGCCGTGGACGGAGCCCATCATACGAAGTCAAAGATGGTCGATTTTCCCTTTTGTAGACGTCACACCTAAACTATACCGACGCTCGAAAATACGCAGGACTCGACAAGCAGGAGAGAAATGCGCTGTCGGAGGCAGAGAGAGATATCGATCACGGAATCCTCATGATCTGTCCCCCCTTTAAGGATCGAGTTGCACCGAAATTAACCGGAATCTCGGGGCTCCCGATCGATGAGCGCAGCCGCATCATTTGACATGCGTAAAAATTCCAGAGCGAAGTCGAAAAACGGAGGCAGGTCTCTCCGCGAGAAGCTGGAAAAAATCGGTCTCAATTTGCCCGCCGGAAGGAGGAAAGCCGCGAACGTTACGCTACTCACCTCTCTTGTTGAAGGTTCGTATCCATACGAAAGCGGTCGATCAGTGATTGTTCCGTCCTCTCGATTCTCTCTGATCAGAGAGCTCGAATTTTATGATCATTATTCCGCCTAGGTGAGGCTATTCATCTAGCGAGAGATTTCGGCTATGTTTGCGAAACGGAATTCCCGTCACGACATGTCGCCGAATACCTCAGCCGGAATGTTGTACAAGCTGGGGACCCGCAAGACATATATCGGAGGAAGGAGCTGCTGCTAGCCACGAAGGGGATGATACAAGAGTTCATGGATCTCCTAAACCAGGACAGGTAAGCCTTAGGTCGCTGGTCGAGGAGGCTACTACGCATATCTATCCGATGGAATCAAGAGCCCCTATCGTCCCGAAAGGAGTCCCGAAGTTTATTTGTTCTCATCAACCTGCTCATTTCTTTCACAGGACCCCACTATGCAATACACGACCCCAGGTCGTGTTAGAACCAAACGTACAGCGGCATTTGACGCATTTCGCGCTAATAACACATGGGTTTGGTTCTCCTGCTGTTGTGGCGGCCTGTACTGCAATGCAGAACTGTATCAACGAATCGCTCAAACTTCTCGATAAGCATCTCAGTGGGAATTATAATACCGCCGTGTCAGGAGTTACGAACGGAGGCACATCAATACTTGGCGTGCCGACGCAGGTGGACCCCAAGAAGGAGGATGACAAGAAGTGAACTATTTTTTAAACGAGCTGCCTACGAAGCTAGCAGAAGATGAGCTGAACAATTGCGAGCAGGATTGTACAGAATCTCAACCCGTGGTGGTCTCGGACTCCTCTACCAAATGGCACTTCATGTTAGCTCTCTTTCCTAGACGACACCATACGCGGAGAAAACATTCCGGTCCGTTATTTGCAGCACCGTTCTGAGATTCGAGTCTTCAGCGATCGAACACCCGAACGGGCTTATCGATCTTCAGATTTATCGATCAAGTGGTCGATGATAGATCCTCATCAATCCTTAATCTAAGCCGATAAATTAATATATTGTAAAAAGACAATGTGGAGAGGTCTTCGCCGCTGTCGCACTCATCGACATTGCTCTCGCCTTCGGATCTTATCAATTTCATCATCGGCCGCAGTTGTGAAGCGAATCCGCGGTCTAAAACTGTATGGGCTGATTGAAGCAATCGTGAAAAATCGCGGCGTCCTTGGATAAAGGTCGCGAATGAGAGACGGAGTGAACAAGCGACTAGACGACTCGATGCGTACCTCGTATGGAGATCTTGTAAACATAATTAGCACGGGATTCCTTTAACGAGTGGGCGAGTTGACGTGATCATTGAGTTCATGAGCTACACAATCATCGATCCTTGGATGCATGAATGAATGGACCGACGGACGGACGGACAAAGACTCACGGAAGGAAGGATGAGATTCGAGAGAGGGACAGAGAGAGAGGTAGATAGATAGGTAGATAGACTCATGATAGGCAAAACTCAGTCAGTCAGCTGGAGAAAGCCTCCCTCTGGAAGGTCAGCGAACTGAATAAGGAGGCGAACGGACGGGAAAGAATCAAAGAACAGGTGATAAACCCGGGATTTGATCTAACTCCATTCGTTCGCTCATCAATTGACTCTCAGATTGACATCCAATGCATCATTCTGTCATGGAAGAGTCCACCAACTATGGGGTGGAATTGTCCTTACCCGCGACGGGTCACCGCTCCCAAATGAACGAGTCGTCATTCCTCATCCTGTGGGGACATCGCACCATAGAGAAACATATCGGGAAATCTAGAAAACCCAAACACTTGATAAAGGTGTACAAAAGGGACGCTTCTGACAAGAACCGCAACAATACTCATATTTATTCTTGTGTTGGATAGTCAGGTGGTTTATCGTTTCTTTAGAGATGGGATCAGCGCGGATTCTCACGATCACGCTGCATCATCGCATCGAGCGCTTAGTGCCGCTCTCGATCGAACTTCGCGATTCTCCTTTGTCAGTCAATGCTTATTGTAAATATAGAATCTATGAATTGTCCTGGATAGGCGCTCCCTTACTACAGTGAACTCTTTCGATTTTCTATAACAACATCTCCCTACCCGTATTTATCACAACCTTTTGTTGTCTTCAGTTGTTTTGATGATACCAGTCGCCGTCCGATCCGTCGCTCAGCTAGGTGTCCCAAATCAGAGAAAAACCTCGGAATCGAGGCCGTATGTCGGGAGGCGATGAATAATTCGTATTCGAAAAAGTCGTCCACCAAATGTGATGACGGTATTGTACGTAGGAGCCGACTGAGCGGATGGCTGGGTTTTGTTTCGTACGTCTTTCAATGATTGTTGTTGTGGTTCCGACGATGAAATATCATCATCCCACCCAAACTATATTGTAGAATGGAGCCAAATTATAATAAAACGTTTCTACCAAAATTATTCGCGAATCCACGTAGAGTATGGAAGATGAGGGAGGCTTCCTAACCTTCTCACGATCCTTTCGTCTATGTTTCGAACTCGCATGCGATCGCTTTGATTAACGGAAGCGGTCAGATGAGAAGGATTTAGTAGTGATGCGAGATTTTCCCCTGTCACCGCCTCGCGCTTCTCGGAATCAAAGACCTCGACAGTCGATTGAGGATTACATACATGTAGCACCCGGTGAGGCCTCTCCTCAGATCTCTGATTTGTGAGACGTACCGTAAATATCCTAATAGACGGATAGTCTCCAATGGACGAGCAGGCTTTGCGGAATGAATGAGGTAGACGGGCAGTCTATCTTCCGGTTCCTTTCTTTAGAAATTATTTCGAGGATGGGAATCATTCAGGTGAGCGAGTCTCGTATGAGTTTTCAGTGTGCTCAAGTCATTATGCTTATTTTATCCGTTCAATATGGTATGCCAGGATGAGTGACTGGTCTCGGTTCCCTCGTTGGTACACGGAAAATATGGACGGACAGTCTCCAACAGACGCTCCGATTTAGCTTCGTCAGCTCCCCGATCGAATTCTAACGGATCGGGTTCTTCACCGATCTCGAAAATAGAAGAATGGGGAGTACAAGGAAATCTTACATATTCAGGCATGCATATGCTACTTGTCGATGGGAGCGATCCACACCCTCCCGGGAAAAGAAGGCCCGGCACGGTACTTTGGGAGATCCTACTCAGCGGTTCTACCATCATTTTCGCAATCCTCTTGAAGAATGTAGCCGACATCCTCTCGGGGCTTGAGCTGAATTTATTCTCCGTCTGCGCGTCGGCTCTCAGGGCCCCCTCCCGGGAACATCGACATCGCCTTCGGTTCACATCCAGGCACGGAGCCACGAAAGTAGGAATCACGTTGCCGCGGATTTCATGGGACATTCTTCCGGAACGCCTCATGAAGAGACAATCAGGGGCTCCGTACCAGACTCTGTACCTATCACATCGATCCATGAAAAGGATTTCGTATCACGGGAAGATGACAGTATATTGCTTCCAGTTCAGGCCGACAATACATATGGTTCGAGCAGCGACATCAATGTACAGAAAGGTCCGTGAGAGCCCTCCTAGGGCTCAAATCTGCCTCTACCTGTAGATGATTCTCGGGACTCGCTGGATTCCGGCAGAAAGACCACCGGCTTCTCAGGTATACAGAAAGGTCCGTGAGAGCACTCCTAGGGCTCAGTTCTGCCTCTACCTGTAGACTGTAGATGAATCTCGGAACTCGCTGGATTCTGGCAGAAAGACCGCCGGCTTCTCACGTATACTTCTCACGGACAAAAGAAATCGAATACGCTTAGAGACACCTGCATCAGCGAAACAACGACGAACATTTTATTCCGCTCAAGGAGACGTCTGCACAACTTCGGAGGATCGAGGTCGCTCCACCACGCAATATATTATTACCCCCGAAAGCTTTTCGGAGCAAGGTACCGATTCTACTTCGTTTTAGTCACTAGGATCCTGAACAATTTCGCATAATGATTCCGTCGGGCTCTGTCTCCGATCTCATGACATTTCCTCGCGATGAAGTTGAGCGCGACTTTCGATCGCTGGACATCTCCGAAAAAATTCCATTCTTCATAACAAGAGATCATATCCTCGATCGCTCTATCATTCTCTGATATCTCTGCCCGAACGCTTCGTAGTAGGAGTTTGTCGTCTTTGGATCCATGAGCGAGGATCATGGGTGTTACAGAGTCAAGACTCGATTTCAGCGATGGTTTCGAGAAGTTCCTCCGACTCCGCGCTCGCACGAGTTCGAGTTTGAACATGCATTCCAAGTAGCGTAAATTATACCGCTCACAGAGAGCGAGCCCCTCCAATATGCACTGGAACGAGTTATCCGAGTCGATATCGATCAGGACGCGCGATTTCAGAAGAAACTGGATAACGCTCCCGTAGGAGCCCGAATTCTCAACAGATGTCGGAGGAAACCCGTTGATGAGTTTGATCGCTCTCTCATAGTTTCCCAAGTGCTGATACATCCTGACTTTGTACAGTTCGGCGTCAGCCGGTGATAACAGAGCGAGTGCGTCGATCGAAGCCCTACATTCGGAGAAGCGATCTTTATGAAGATTACTCTCGCACTCATTGCACAACTTGGCGATATCTACGGCCTTTCGGAGCTCTGAGAAAGGCGGAACGAGCGAATCGGCGATTTCCAATAAGGTGCCCGCTGTCACATAATCGTAGTCCTGTATTGCGTATCGAGAGCAGAACACGAACGCTAATATCACGCTTTCGTTGATGAAAATCCAGTCTTCATGACGCGGATTGATCTCTGTATAGCAAAGGTGCAGAACCATTTCACAATGTAGTTTCGCGTTCTGATGTAACCCATAGCTGATCCATAAAATAGCAGCGCTCATACCGAAGCTCATGAGCGCTGCAGGCGATCCGCAGTTCTCAACGTGTTTTCCCGCAAGTTTCTCTAAACACGAGCTAGGGAAACGTCCCGTGAGGATGCCTAACTTCGACAAAGTTTGCAGCCCCAGAGTGAATAACAACCACAAGCGCTGCTGCTGCCCGCCATGGAGAACCGAGTTCTCTACAGCCGAGGACATATCGTTCTGATTCGTCCTGCTCAACCACAAGAGAGCCTGCTCAAGACATTCATGATCACCAGCTTGCTGGGAGAGATCGATGCTTTCACGCAAAGCGAGCTCCGCCTCTTTTTCGTGTCCAAACCTTTTGTGAATGATCGCCAAGTTCAGTAAGGCGTATCGGAACTTCTTCCCTGCGATATCCCTCTTCAACAAGAAGTGCTTGTGACAGTCCCCGATCGCGGAAACGTATTCTCCGAAGAAAAGATTGCTCATGAACGACACATAGTAGGCCTCCGCCATGTCAGGGTTGTTGCAGAGTATTTTCAGAATCTCACGATTGAGTTCTCTCGGCGGCAAGGCGGACGCGGGATTATCCCTCAACCTTTGTCCCTGTTGTCTCAAAAAGGCCCGAGCGCTGTCTCTTCCATAGGCCAGTCCGGAAATATCGTTTGCCGATGAGGACTTCAGCTCGGCGGCGCCGGAAGACTCCAGATCTGTCGATTCGTTATGTGTAGACGATGAGCCCCCGGTATCTTCTTTCGTACCGACCTCCGACATTGGAGCGTCGGCTACTTCGTTAGTGAGTGGCCGATCGTGATCGACTGCTTTGGCGACGTACTCTTGAACCATCATTGAAAACTGCGTTTGAGCTGTAAAATCCAAGGTATTGATCGCTAGAATCAGCTTGCGGAGGAACATCCCGGTTACCGAATTCTTATGAATTTTACTGTAATCAGCGTCCTCGCTTCCCGCGAAGAACTTTTCGAAGCTCCTTGTTTTCTGGAAAATCGCGTTCACGTTTCCTCTTCGGAAGTGTGCGAGTTCCTGGAGTGTCCGCGAGTGCACCGTTTCTGGTAGTTCTTTGAGGCAATCATCCAGGAGCTCCTGAAGATATCATACACTCATTGACGAGCGGGAATGGAGTCCGTAGTGTACTCGCAGAGTCGATCAGCTCCTGCTCCTGATCGCGCCCCGTGAAATTTCGATTGAAGTCTCCGATAAACTTACCGCACAAGATTTCTCAGAGCTATGGATGAGCCGCAATATGAGGATCATAGCAGCCCGACGGTGAGATTCAGAGATCTGTTGTCGTGATACTTTACTCGTGTAAAGCTGACAATATTCGCCAACCATTACACCGACCGCGAAAGTGAATGGGGTGAGGGAGAAGTCGCGTCTGAAGCGATCACTGACCGAGTAGGCACACTCCATCTCCTTGGAGTCCTTTTCTAATCACGGGAAACTTGGGAGCGTCAGGGAGATGAGAGGGAGTGGGTAGCTGGCAGAGCTATGGAAGGTTGACTCCATCGGACTCCATTCATCAGGGATCCGGTGCCGATGTTTTGAGTCTGCTGTACTAGCATTTCCGAGCGTCTCCTCTCTCTGAGGTGCAGGAATGGGGCAGACACTCGAGGACCGTTCCTGCGGCTTGAAGTTTTCCCATCCAGCGAAACCGAACGCGCTCTTCCTGCCGCTGCAGACCCGTCCTCGAGTGTATTCCACCTTGAGCGACCGGGCAGGTGTCTCCAGATCAGTGAGCCGGTTCGGTAAAAGGGAACATACGCCCAATCCAGCGGTCCGGGGAGTCTTCTTCCCAATAGAAACGAAGAAAAATGCTGCCCTCCGGCGCACGGGCCCGCGGTTGCGAAGGCGCGATCGGTCAGCAGCCGACGACGGAAACAATCATCGTCGAGAGGAGGAGGAGAAGCCCCCACACCAAAACACATGAGCCGCTGCTGATGACGATGATCATGGATCACTATGGGCGGTTGGCGGCCCTCACGAATCGAAACGAGATTGTTGGTGTTCTCTCAGCCCCGGAAACGATCCGGTACGTGGACTTGATGCGACTAAGGATTAATACCTAATGCAGCTAGTTTTGAATTAATGGTCGATGATCGCCCCGTTTCGCCACATGCCCGAGCCCCGATTGACGCTATCCCTCCCAGACGCGCGATGAATTCGAATCTTTCCTTGAACTAGTTCCCGGGACTTCTGACCTCAGTAAGACAATACCATCCACCAGCGCGGGACCATCTCCGTCTGGATGATCGCTTGCCGCTCCTGGGATGAGTGTAAGACGTTGACGAGGCTTAGTGGTGATGAGAAGGATATCGATGCTCAACTTGAAGCGTGACGTCGTCGGAGTTCTCGGGAAACACTTCTCTAAATGTTTGCGAATCCTCGAATGATCGTCCCGAGGCTTGATGACATCGATGATAAAACGGTGACGGATACGGAGGGGGCTATGCTGTACGTCAGCGAGTTATTTCGAGGAGCATATGAAGAAGGAGCATGGGGCAGGATCCATACGCGCTGCCTAACGGCTCCATTCGATCGCGAGCATCTTTGGAGGCACTATAGTCTCGCCTGTTGCCATAGAGTATCTAAGGATGATAGAGCCCGGAATCTACCCAATCCAATTTCAAGTTCTCCAGGATCGTTGTCGGCGACCGGTCGGCGACGGGCTCGGCTCACCATCATTCGAACCTCCCACAGCTGTTCCGAGCAATGTCGTATCGTGCCTATAGGATGCCCGGGGCTCCCCACCCATCTTCTTGTTATCGACGATACCGAGGAATTCTAGATCGGTGGTTGTTAGACAAATGATCGAACGCAAAGATCAGGACCTTCATTTCGCTATTTGACCGCAATTTTATTTCGATTCGCTCTCTTCTTCTTCTGTATCTTCTCTTCTTGCCTGCTTTTCTTCCTGAGCAGATACTCCTCAACGTTATCGAACCATTGTTTGTACAGCGTGTCCAGCTCAGCGTTGCTCTCCGTTGTACCTGAGAAATGCAAGGATGTCTGTCGAGACTAGCCCGTGATCATTAGCAAATAAATATTTAATGAGAATAGAGCTTCGAGCACGGAGAACGAGAATGTCACGCCTTTACAACACACCTGCGAGCGGAGCGATCAGATCCCTAAGATATTCTGCAATATCTGGTGACAGCTGAACTTCGGAATGTGAGCCCGCAGCGTCAAGCTGGTATATGGATGGCGCAGGAGTCAGGATCTAGGGGTTTGAGCGTCGTGAGCAATAATCGATCAAACAATGAGGGGGGAGGGTGGTTCCAGCGAGCAGCAACCGATACTCACCCACAGTCTCGAACTTTGATCTATCGTGGCGTCCCGAACTGGAAGATCCGTATGGATTCCGGCAAGCTTCTTGAAACTTGCTCCTCCACGACAACTCAGTATGTGGACGTACGGAACTCTGCTGTAGATGACAACGACCAGATCGCCTCGGTTCAGGACCTGAGCAAATATTTCGCATAAGGCCCAGACCGAAATCTCCTTCACGACCGACATGCAATCCAGAAAATCCTCTCATTTACCAACACAGAGGCATTCTATTCATGCCGAATAGATCAGTACCTTCTTGAGCGGCGGTCGGGTCTTCTTTCCATCTTTCACGCTGCTGTATTGCTCAAAGGGCCGTAGGCGCTCCGCCTGAGCCGCGTCAGCCCAGCAGTCGAAAGAGTCCAGACAAGTGCCCGTGCGGATGTCCCAAAGCTTGAGTTTTCCGTCTCCTCCCACCGAAACCTGAGCAACGGATGGCATCGAGATGTCACAACCTGCGTATCGCTCGCTTCGTCTCTCTACGCTGCACGAAGCTAATCATGATATCACTCACTAGCCGATCTCCGTGGTGATCGAGGGTTGTTATAGAGGTGACGAATTGTTGGTGTCCTAGACAGAAGGCGACGATGTCGTAACAGTCAGGATAGCTCGAGACCTGGATTTTCTCGTCGCGATCACAGATTATCAGAAATTCGTTGCTGGCAGTGAGCGTCATGTCGAGCAACATCGACAGTCGTCCCATGAGAAGTCGAGGACTCGCACCACAGTCCTCCAAGTCGTATTCGTATACGTCACCCGCTCTGGAAACATCGAATGTATACTTGACCTACCAGTAGGGCTCATCGTCATGCATCCGAGCTGCTGAGAGGACAGGGATGTACAATATCTGTTCTTACTTCAGGAAGAGACCTTCACGTGTTGGCTCTATCCGCTATGCAAATCAAAACTCCGACAGTCACCATTCCTATGCCCCAGTAAGTGAGACGACTTCCGAGTTTCTCGCCACAGAGAGCGCCCGCTAATGTGGTGCACACAAAAGTTAGAGCATTCACGAGAGGAACCGCCAGCGTGAGTTCGGTGGAACCCAGACTCATTGCGTAAACGGCTGAACCGGATTGATTCATCATGAGCGGTATGACGAACTGGGGCTTTCGCAGGAGAAATTTCACCTCATTGAACCATCGCAGCAGGAAATTCGAGCCTTGCACGCTCTCTAGTCCTTCAGAGCCCCGCCTGAGGAGGGGCGTAGAGAACCCCCACATAACCGCCACCGCTACAAGCCACAGAATTCCTGAGAGATCCAGCATATTCTCGCTGATAAGAAAAGTCTCTCCTCGAACGCTGGTGGTCAGATGATGAGCGGACCCATGCATGCGGCTGCTGACGTGCTGACGCTTCAAAAACAGAGAGAGATCATCCGCTAGCAGACGGCTGTTCCTTGTTTACGGTGTCGCCATGGCCACGGCTGCCGCAAAATTCGATTATATTTCAGCTGCTCGTTCTATAGGTCTATCTATCAGCCGAGGCGACGCCGGGTTAATTGCCCCCGAAGCGAGCGAGGTGGCGCCTGATAAACTGTTCAACGATGATGTTTTTGTGGGGTAGCGATTCAGACTTAGCTAGACGATACGACACTAGATTACGGCTCATGGAGTATTCAGCAAATCTGCGGTTCTTTCCCTAGAACCCGATTAAGCCTTGTCTTCGCAGCCTGAGACATCGGGAGGGGGCTTCGGGAGTGAGATACTCTGATTCGATTCGACTAGCTTGCGGACCACATCTCCCTGACTGCCTTCCACGAAATCGGGAGACGTCGAGCGTGTCTCGAGAGTGCAGCACTCGTCTGAGGCTCTGAGGCGTTCCTCTCCCGAACTCCGTATCAGAACAGCATATAAAGGATAATTCTCCCCGCGAATTCCGGGTAGCCACCGAATCGATCATTGGAGCGTTTCGTTCCCCGACTCGGTCTCACCTGTCTGCAACGAGTACCATCCTTGGAGCCAGCTTACTCAGGGAAGTCTGGATACATTTTCTCGGCGTTTTCCTCACTGAGTGAATGAGCCACTTTCCTGTGATTGGGAGGATAGGAATTATACCTTGGGCCAGTTCCGGTAGGATGACCGATTTTGGTGAATCCTCTTGTACACGAAGGAAGCCGAAATGATCGGTTTACAGGGATGCGAGAAGCAATTACCTTCAGCTCCCCCCGAGGTCTCTTCTTGCTGTCGATTCCAAATGATCAAACGCTTGTCGGATGTGGTTGCCAACAGGTACATTTGACAAGACGATATATGTAAGCTCGTCATTTCTGGACGAGGTCCCACCGCCTGAGAGAAAATTACGTCGAAATCCTGTGCGAGAAAGTCGGTCTCCCCCTTTGTACGGAACTCGATCACTCACGTCAGCGCAGTCTGCCCCACTCCTCGACTCGCATATTTCCGGGCTCGGGAGAGGAAGCTCCATTTTCGAGCTGGAGGATCCGCGATTCCTCATCGCAACCACTCGATTTCCCACGGAGAGCAGCAGGAGGTCTCCGACCGCAGAGATGAGTGTTGGCATCACTGGAAGTATAGGCTGCGTCAGCCACACCATAGGCTCACGAGCCGTTACAGGCAGCGTTTTGATGAAATTTTCGTTGATTCGGTCTCGAGAAGCAGCTCCGAAAAATTGGGGAAGCCCCAGGTATGTGTTGCAAAGCATGAAGAAACTATGAGGGGTCTAGGAATTGATATGCTCTCAATTGATTTCTTTCTTCTTTCTCACCTGCTAAATTCCCCGATGGGGAGGCAGCAAACTTTCAGCGAGCTCTCACGCCGGGCTTATCCCCTTGTTTCATGTGAGTGGCGCGAGTGCGCAACTCTCATCAGCCGATGTTTACTTTCGAATTTCGACTCCTTGAGCCTTGAGCGCTGCACAGAGCTGCGAGCGATTAGTCGACACCTAGATCTACGTCCTGCTCGATTTCGGGTGATTCCACGACTGTACGTCTTAAACTATCATCTGCGTTAAGAGGACATGCCGAATGGCCGGAATATTCTCCTTCCACGAGAATGGGTTGCTTACCGCAGCTGGAGTGTGAGTAAACAATTGCGTCCGTGATCTTTGCTTGTATTCGCAGCGTGACCGGGCGCCCTAGACTCTCCCAGACTGTATCTCTTCGGATTAATAAGTACCAAAGCTTGTCTGTCCCACGCTCATGGAGCCCGACACTATGTTATGATCAGCTCTCGCTGGATCAATAGAGGTCCGGAGCCGCGTGTTCAGCAACGGGATTAACCGTACTCAATCCAAGCATCCGGCGGGAGTCCAGGAATCATCCTCAGGTTCGGCTTGCCTACTTCTCGACTGCGTCGCGGGAATACCTACATTCGAAACTAAATACATGGAATCATGCGTGATTTGGAATTCATTCATTATCGTCTGCAATCTAGTAATGCTGCCGATGGACGAAGACTCAAGCGAAAGTGACACAATGGAAGAAAACCTTGGGACACGCGGGCATGCATGCAGGATAGGCGCTCGTCGGAATCGAGAAGTACCCTGAGAAATACCCAGAGATATCGAGACTCGGCATCGGAAATCATGTGCTCGAATTGAGATGAACACGCCTGGTCGAGGAGATTAGCGGAAAGCTCCAGTGAATGGGTACCCATCCAAGGGGCGTGGAAGGGTACGCCTGGAAGACCGCTGTATTCTGCCTCCCCAAAATAACGCCAAGAAGGAAGATCGACATCCCAACCAATGCGGATCGTTTCGGTTGGGAATGAGGGAGGGAAGTTCACGGCAGCGGGCTTCACTCCTACATTCTGGAGCTTGCTCTGCAAGAATGCATGCTGCTCGCACCGATGATGATTCCTCGTGTTATAAAGGTGGAGCGACTCCTACCGCGAGGAGTGATTGCTCCGGGACTCCTACCCCGGTATTCCGTCACACTCAAAATTTTCCTCGATACGTATGTTCGAATCAATCATAGCCTCGAAGGAGACATCGCTGAATACCGAGCATTTTTGAGTACTTTCCTCTTGTGAGCGTAGGAGCGTATCACGATGGTAACTGATACGGTCGTACACTCCGGTAGATAGATCGAATGCGACATCATGATTCAGCATCCGACATCTGCCTTTCCGAGCCAGAAGACTCACGAAGCGGAGGTGCATTGAAGACGCGAGGGTGAATCTTCGACGAGAATGCTCGAAAAAGGCTACCGGCCAGATCAGCGACCTGACGCAAACGCGCCTGCAGAGAGAGCTTCCGAAACAGCCGTCTCCATAGGGATGGGATTCTGTGAAGAAAAAGTGGATGTCCCGAGCTCCCGTTCCATCTGACAAAGCCGCTTCGATACAAGATTTTACAACATAATACCATTAAGAGAGGGCGGATTACTCGAGAGCCATCCCATCATGCCATATCTTAAGAAGCCTCGTCCTAAAGACCACCCCGTGAGGTGGGGAAACAACGCGCCGTTGCATCTCGGCAGCCGCCGCCGCGAGTCCCAACACACGGTATTACAACCAACCGGCGGCGCGTGTGTGCCAAAACGGTTTTGCTTTCGATCGAGATCTCGCAGTTCGGCGGCTAGACCGCTCCACGAGTGAAAATGACGATCTCAAAGAATAATAAGATGCTGCAGGTGAGTCTTGAGTACCTAATGCGGAACCTTCAGCCATTATCTCAGTCCATCGCCGCTCGCGTCATGCCGAGCTCAATTGAGGGAGCGATCACTTCGGATCGACAAGTCTGTCTTCCAGCGCTGCATCTGACCTTTCTTTCGATTATCCTTCCTGCTCCCTCTCCGCCCCATCCACCGGACTGGGGTTTCCCTTGACGGCGCCTCCGTCCGGTGTCCGCGTCTTGAATACGATCGAGAAACTCTTACTGGACCCTTTCTTGTCCACAGCATATCAACTACAGGATGCGAGTCACGCTGCAGGACTCTAGAAGTTTCATCGGAACTTTCAAGGCTTTCGATAAGCACATGAACCTGATTCTGACCGAATGCGAGGAATTCCGAAAAATTAAAGCGAAACAGGGCGGCCAGGAACGAGAGGAGAAGAGAGTTTTGGGACTCGTCCTATTGAGAGGCGAGAATATCGTATCGATGACCGTCGAAGGTCCTCCTCCGCCCGAGGAGACGGGACTCCCGAGAGTACCTGGCGCGTCTTCACAAGGAATGGGTCGCGCGGCTGGAAGAGGGATGCCCGCGGGACCTTTGGGAACCAGCGCCCCTGCAGGACTCCAAGGACCTGTGCGTGGTGTGGGCGGACCTTCAACTCCTCAAATGACTCCTCAAGCCCGAGGAGCTTCCATATCCGCGCCCCCCATGCGAATGCCCGGCGGAGGAATGGTTCCGCCGGGAATGGGACCACCGCCTGCGATGAGGGGACCCATGCCTCCGGGGATGATGGGGGGAATGCGCGGACCGCCGCCGGGAATGCGAGGACCACCGCCCGGGATGATGCGAGGACCCCCTCCCCCACCACCCCACATGCGTTAATTCCGTGCTATCCATCGGCAATGTAAATAAAGCGGGCCCTGTTTTTTCTCGGAAGCGATTCCTCTCTCTCTATTTTCCTCCGATTCTTGGATGCTTCCTCCTATGGGGAAAAGACTTGCACGTCGGATCTCTCTGAAGTATTACCTCTCAGCCCTGGAACCGCTCCCTTGTACGATAGCTTCGAAACCCCTGTCTGGTCTCCTGTGGTGTTTCTCAATGCCGAATCGGATGAGCTCATCGCATCGTGAGCGGAGGTCTCCTCGTCAGAACGTCGGCTATGCCCAAATCGCGAAAAGCTGTATAAACTTGGGATGGCTTGATCGATTGCTTCAAGTCCGACCGATCCCCTTATGAGTCCTTGCTCCAACCCGTCCCGAGTACGGAGAGTACGCAGAAGTGTTGAGGGTTGGAGGTAAGAGAAAACAGCGTCGTCGGCAAAGCGAAACCGGTGGGAGGATTGGCTCTGTAATTGACAAATCGCCCGATGCAGTTTTCCGGGAATGCTCTCGGAGCACAGCATGTAATAAACTTGTGCAAATTCTATGAGTGTCTCTCCTGATGGGAATGCTACACAACTTCCAAACTTGAGGGACAGCTCCGGTGTCGACAGACCTGGTCGCTGTCGCCCTGCCTGGTCAAAATATCACACATACATCCTGTAAACATGACGCTCGTGCTGCTCTATCAGACGGAAAGTTCCCTTGGGGTAAGTACAGGAAAGGAGAGCGAGAATCAACCCCTGCCCGCTTCCCCTACGCCTGGGCCTGGATGGGTCGGCCAAGCACAGAGAGGTGGATAGCCGCTGTGTGCATCTCGCTGCGGTAAAAACCTTCGAAGCAGCCTGCGATCTTGAGCCTCTGCTTCCTTGATGGAGTCCTTTCCCTCTCGCGTCTCTCGAAACATTCTCGGTGCATCCCGAGGTTTTCCGAAAATCCGCTCAAGAAGGCTGTAAGCCTCCCCGAATCGCTTAATCTAGAACCCCTCCTGCGTTGATGCTCACTTCCCCCGACTAGAAGCCATTAGCCAAACAGCCCGAGTTCTCCTCCCCTCTATATGTACACTCACGCGTATATAAACTTCTTCTCCCTTGCGATTGTCACACCCGTCAAAATATTCCGAATCCCCTTATTGCTCCAATGAAGCGCTCGAGGCTGGGAAAACTTTTCTCCTCCATCGATGGAAGCCGGGCGGACCCGCGATGAATTCATATCGACGATGTCCGATCCGGAGCATCGCTTTGGATGGTATACACGACAATAATAATCCATCGCCGGAAAACGGCGTTGGCCTTACCGGCGATGAATTTTCCGGCTTCGAGATGCCCGATTCAGCTAACGCGATGGAGAGGGGCGGGGGATCGAAGACACTAGCCTTCCTGAGCTCATTATGTAGACAGATAATGTGATCCATATATCATTGTGTCTGTATTATGAACCTAGCGGCGATGCGTTTCGGTAAGACGGAGGGCTCCGAATCCAGCAGAAAGCGGAAAGCCAATGCGCTTCAGTTGGACCTGGGCTCGAATGTATATTAACTACTCTGAATTCCGCTGTCAAGCAGACTCGGTCGGACGATCCTCCTCCCAGAAAAGCCGGCTGCGGCGCTTGCCATTTCTAGGATCATACCATATTCCGCAAAGACTCCGAGGCTCTGGTCGATGGTTGAACTGGATTTCGACTTCGCTCCGTCGAAGTCGGATCCATGTTGGGAAATCTTGCACCTCGGAAGGCAAGAATAATGTCGGTGAATCACCCTAAAGGCTACTCCCAAGACCTGCGATTAACCTGGCTAGCCAAGGAGCCCGGGAAACATCTTGAACGGTTCAAGCATTCCGAGGCAGCGCATGGTCATTTCCATAGAGCGGCTCTGGTTGCAAAATACCTCCACATGGCCGAGGGAAAAAAATTCTGCTTGCTGGATGCACACCGTCCGAGGGTCGTTCCTGAATTTCCTGCATCTTCGGACACACTGAGAATCCAGTTGCAGAATGGGGTAGAAAGACAGCTTTTCGTGGAAATGTGAGCAAGCTCTGAATACCTGATTCCGTTGTTTGCAGGATTTACCCTGGAATGGACCTGAGGAAAGTTTCTGACGATCCCATCTTCTCCGACAAAGACATCCACAGCGTTCATTTCCCAGGACTCGGACTCCTTCCCCTGTTGGAGCTGGCGGCGCGAAATTCCAGGATAGCTCAGGATATCGACGCTGTCAGCCACGTAGACAAAAGAGCGACTCTGATTCTGCGAGCTGCACGGGACTTAGAGAAGCTCGAAGAGGTTCACAGAAAAATCCGTCGAGGTCATCATCTGTTGTTACCCAGGGGCAGTCAATTTTGGTTTTCGAGCATCGCGTGTTTCCCTCCTGGATTCTCTTTTTTGCGTGAAACAGCTTGCAACGAGCCCGATGATTCTCATAAGGAGATGCGAGTGCGGAAGGGAGAGAACCTAGGAGAAGGAAGGGGACCACAGGAAAAGAATGCATCTACGCACGACCCAGGAGAGTGTAAAAGTCGACTGGGGTGTGGGGCTCATTCCAATCTTTCCAGTAAACAGAAATCTAGAAGAAACCTAGAGAAGGAGAGGAGAGGACAGGGCTGTAACACTAGTAGAACGATTCAATTTTGCATCTGATCAAGGAACGACCCCGTCGCACAAGACGCTAAACCCGTTATTATCAGAAATAGTTGAGCAAATCGTCATTTTTGTAGTATGTAGTCACTGTAGCTCATGTCGTGCCGGTAACATGCGGTTTTGACCGGCGCAAGCCGTGTGGCGAAGTCGAAGGCGAACGGCTGCGGGCAGCGTGAGATCGTTTTCTGGATCCTGAAATGAGATATACTCGATTTTCATGGTGGTGTGGGTTCCGACCAGCTTCAACAATCTCATCTTGGCACCTGATGTCTCGGCGAGGAAAAGAAGACCCGGCAGGGTTTGTCGAAGTATTACTTCCAAGGCAAATGGAACCATGTGTTTTCGACCCGCCGCTGATTCCAGATGGGAAACAACCTAGATTATGTTTCACTGCGCTTAGGACGCAGGGGCGACTCTCATCAACACGAATGAATGACTTCGGCGGCATCGACCGCGAATCGATACCTGCTGTCTTAGGATCTTTGCCCTTCTCTGACCCAATGGCGGTACGAGACCGCGGTACCTACCGTGAAAAACCGCGAATGTCGCTATGGCAGGCGGAACATCATGCGCGTCTGTACGTCGAAGACATCTAGAGGTGTCAGGAGTCGGCCAAGTCAGTCTGGTAGAAACGAGCGGAGTGGACGAACGAGAGCGGCCGATGGACCACGACTTGTGAAGGGCTTTATTTTATTGCTTTACCCGACGCTCCGAGAAACCTATCTGATACCTGGTCCCACCAGACACTGCTTTGAGACAACAGACTCGATGTCTGACCGAGCTTCATCAATATGCGGCAGAGGAACGCCAGCGAAAGCACCGACGCCCGGATGGACTCTTTGAAAATAGACTCAATATTCCGAACGGGAACTATTCCTGGAGCCGAAGATCAAATCGGATGGGTACTCGAGAGTGAATAGGAGAACGAAGGACGGAAAAATTGAATTATTATCCCGGAGCAAGCTTATATCGCTCTGTTTCCGGTTGTTCGATTCCGCACGCGATTCGATTCAGGATTGCGCAGCTGCCATCTGGGAGGCTCTGATCTCGAATGCTCTATTCCTCGCTCTAATCATGGCCCCCCTCTCCATGGCCTCGGAGTCAATCGTCGGCAATTCCACCTCGACTTTTGACTCCACTATCTGGATCCTCTTCGGCAGAGCTATTCGAGTATGCTCCGCAGGCAATGTATCCACTCCTTCGACACCGTGCACCAACCAGAGTGCACGCTCAAGCTGAAGCAGATGTATCAGACTGGTCATCTTTGAGTCCATCGAAAATTTTCCACGACTCACAATCAGAATCTTCCTTCACTATTCCCTCAAACTCGAACTAGCTGTCCCTAGGCTTCGGCTCCCGGAATTCGCATACCCGGACCCTCACAATTAGATTTTAACGGAATCTCGGAAGTTCGAGATTTCTTCCAGCAGAGAGGAGATGCGGTACAATGTCATAGAAAAAAAAACAAGGATGAATGTATCTCCAGAAGGGCCACAAAAAGAACGGAAAGAGTGCAAGACCGCGAGCGACTCGCGAAGTCCAGGAACAATGCTCCTCTAGCTCTGAACCGGCAAACAAACCATACAAAATCTGGGAGATTGTCATTGGCCGAAACCTCCACTTGGTCCTGCGGGATCGCTTACGTACCTCGTTTGATATGGCTGAACAGCCCCGCTGTACGCTAGCAGCCAGCTCCCTTGCTCGATGCCTGCTGGGATGTCATATGATCTCATAGTCCAATTCTCTGTCACTTTACTCGGTCATACGGCTCAGAGCTCGATGAAAACTGGAGATGTGCCTTGCTCTTACGGAGTTTCCGCGCCATCCTCGGAATAAGCGCTTCCAGCCCTGCCGTCTTCCAATCTTGATAGTTTTTCCCAGCACCTCTGTTCCACACCCTCCGTACCTAGTCAGATACGAATACGAATAATGTTTGAAGTGTCTCTCGGCGTTCAAACTCCCCAAGAATCTTTGTGAAGGGGCCTCAACAGAACACGAACCGATCAATTTTCGACCTCATACTGATCGGATTCAGGGGCAACGTTATGCTCGAAGGCGCCGTCAGGCCCATCTGATCTGCTCGATGGGACAGACTTAAAGCCGTGCAACCTAGGCCTTTGTCATCTTGGATATCCAGTGCATCATTTCACTCATCACTTTCTCTCGCTCAGAATGTTGACTTGTCGTGAATTCACGTTACAAATGTTTCCGCGATTCACCCTCCATTCCAGGTCACAATATAAGCCCGATTCTGATAGTAGCCCCTCTTCAATCGAAGTTCCCTCCCGCTGAGGCCTCTTGAAAAATAGGAGCCCGGTTGTCTATCGGACTAACCTAACCATTTCCACGACTCAATCCCCCCAACCTTGGGAAGTATTTCCCATTCGCTTGGCTCCTCATCCGCCTCCCTCCTCGAACGACGCATGATAACCGCAAGGATAGGTCCTTTTACAGCGCGGGGCCGAGGATATCGTCTCCCTGAAGTTTCATCCAAGCTTCTTCGTCCGAGGAGAGCACCGTCGACCGAGAAGTCTTGACCATCGAGACAGTCCCTGATCGTTAGAAAAGACTCATGCGCGAAGTCGACTCGTCGCGCACGCTATACATACGTATCCGTATGGGACAGGGCTAGAGATCTTACCAGGGGGGGAACTACTTCTTCCGTCCCGTTCACTCGTTTCTCCTAGTCCTAATCCTTCATTCCTCCCTGAAGTTGTTCCTTTATGTTGCGAATAATGATGGATGTACCCAGTGTATTATCAAAATGAATCGCTTCTCCCCCGAGTCGCCTCGTCCTCGTCCACGTCCCATGGGTATCTTGACTTCCTTCACGCCGTGCTACAATTATCAGGCTCCCCCACCTCCCCCGCATCAAGTTCCGCCTCTCTTTCCTTTCCTGCCGTTCACCTTTGAGCACGTGCTCGACGAGATGTGTCCTTTGTCCTTCCGAGCAGACGAATTCTTCGAGAGGCCAGGAGAGAGGTCCTTTCCACCACGGCCCCTCTCTCGCGGCACACTAGGAATTCCACCGAGCCGCATTGTCTTGAAAACCAAGATAACAAGCGCTTCAATCAGGCTCCGGTCCAGCACGGGCCGAGCTTCTTCCCGGAACTGGCGCTTGATAACAATCTCGAATCGGATCGACGGCTTATCCGGCCGAGATTCGTCCGAGAGAATCCGTTGCGGTGATCCGAGACCAAGTCTATCGGAGCGGGAGAAGCTTTAACGAATGATTGAGCTCTTCTCCTATGCTGTGCTTCTCTCGGTGAACTCCAGATGAGATCGATGTGGTCCAGACCCTCGCCCAGTGAGACTCCGCCGGCCGAACAAGGATCATCGAGACTTAATCGGGAGAGGATAGTGGTGCACAGCCCGTGAAGACGATTGGGAGAACGACTCGAGATGACAAAGGTAGTGGCCAATCCTCGCGAGGAAGAACACACGACATCACAGATTCCGGAAGTTTTGGAGGTAAGCATGGAATTTCGAGGGGGCTCTGACGCACACTTATCCGGTCTAGCTAGCCGAGACGAAGTATCGATGTGCGCGTATCGATGATGCTACCTGTGATTTTCAGTGGTTCGGAGATGTCGTGGAGAACTATCATACGGCGATCGTTGTTTCCTTCAGTACTCTGTTCTGCTTGCTACTGTCGGCGATGTTCGTCCTACGGCAGTGGATAAAGACACAAGAGGACGCTCACAGGAACTGCAGGAGCAAAGCGAAGCTGGACATCCTCGAACTGTCTGATGGTGAGATTCCCGGTCGTAAGCAGGCGTTGTGGTATGGCAGTGACGAGCTTCGGGACACCGCAGTGCCTGAGGTTTCGCGTTCCTCTCCGGTGCTTTCAGGAAAGTTCGGTTCGGTGGTCGACCGGCAACCGGTTCCCAGGCCTCTTGTGTTCTCGGAAAACGTACCGGAGTCTGTATTAGGAACGATGCCTCAAAAAAAAGCCGATGTGATCCGCATGGAGAAGGAGATCGCGAAAGCGCTCACAAAGGAGCAGAGATTAACCGAAGCTGAGGTGAGGGAGCTTCTTCCAGCTTCAAGTCGTAAGGTGGGTGCCCAGGGAGGTTTCATCCTTGTTTATTGACGGCTTCCGCCTTCCAGGTCCAACGAGCACAATTAGAAGCCATTTACGATTTGATGTCAAAGAATGAGGAAAAGTTCGGTGAATCATCGATGGCGCAAATCTACTCTCAGGCATCGATGTATGGGAAATAACCTGTCTCGAGATCTCGACAGCGGCGTGGTCGATCGTGTCTCGGCACCAGGCGCCTCAACTTCCGAATTATGCCGGGGAGACATTCCCCGTACGATGAGAAGCGGGTTCTAGCTGCATCCACCGGCGGAGGCGCGGCATCGAGAGCTGCGAAAGTCTCCCGCAATAAATGATCGTTCCAACATAGAACAGGAATTCGCATTGATGCATCGAGATCCGTCGAGTAATCATTCCAGCAAAGGGCCGCTCTCACGATGGGGTGGCTATGAATTACTTTTGCTTTCGAACGTAGTGCGGCCTCAATTGAAACGATGAGCTCCGGGGACATGAAGACAGATCGATCGCCTGGTCGCGTGATGAGCTCGAGCTGAGAAACTACTAGAGGTTCTTTCGGCAACACTTGATCCCCCTCCCCGTACTCGGCTCCTTAAGGGAGATAGGTACTCTTGCGTTGGCCACCACGGGTCGCTGCTCAGGAATTCCCTCGAAAATAGAGCCGATCGAGCATCTTACCTCATCCTGTTCCCGGAGCGCCCCGGTCTAACTTTTGTGACATTCACCGATCAGCGAAGGCTTTCGGCGCGTAGCATAAATATGAGGGCGTGTAGTATAAATATTTATTGAATCGGTCGATCATCAATGCGTCTCTCACTTCGAGCAAAAACATTCACGAGTCGAGAGTTCCGTCGTTCTTGACTTTTCATGATTGTGGGTTAGGAATAATGAACTCTTGAAGACGAAGCGGCCCTTCCAGAACGGTTAGAGAATTACATTGATACTACTGCCGCGTGCTTGAAACTGAGACTCAAGCCAATTTTTTTGTATAAAGCACGCTATTCACAATATCAGCGCCAAAATGAGAAGTGGTGTGAGTGATGATGACAGGCTCATCCCCGCCGCTGAATCGATGTCTTCATCTAAAAATTATTCCGCCCGGTTTGTACCAGACATAAATAAGAGAAATATGAAATCGACTACAAGATTCTCGAGCTGTAGCGGGATCGCGGCATCTCTGCGAAGCGGGACCTAGTATTCTTCCTCTTCGCCATTTCCTTGCGGCACTTCCTCGTTATATTCTTCCGGAGCCGAGAAGCCTTCCTGTGGGACAAAAACGACTTTATTCCGAGTTCCACGAGCGCGGAATCGCAGACGCCAGCTCAAGCCTACGACTGTGGAGAACCCACCTCGGTGGCGTAAAGGATTTCCAGTATTTGCTCTAGGGCGGGCGTTTTGTCTTCCTTAGCCTCGAAGTCTTGGCATAGGAGCTCGATGTCCCGGAGTTTGTTGTAGTAAAAATCTCTCTCGCGTTCCAACCCTGTTATTTGTTCCGTGAGCTCGGTGACCTGCGTCTCCAATTGTTGAACTTTCGCTGAAGATACCGCATTCCCACCAGTTGAAGCGCGAGCGGCAGGGCTTGTGGCTGTGGGAAAGGTACAAGCACTAACTGAATGGGGGAGTCTCCTTGTGACTTTGGATCTGTCGGGAATCATTCGAGAAGATCACACAAAACCTCGATGTAGTCTCAATCTTACGGTCCGCGCTCCCCCACGGTGTGAGAAGAAAAGCGCTCTTTCCGAATTCATACCGCCGAGAACGACCTTCCAACGACTCGATTCCCAGCATAACTCCCGCCTGGGTTACGTCGTGTTCCAAATCAACTAGTAGGTATCGTCAGCAATTCCTGATCACGTACTTTTGGCCGCCATGGGCACGGGCGCCTTCCTGATGGCGGCGGGAGCTGGCTGCCTGGGACTTGCTTTCGCCACGGCAGCGATCCCGCTTCGAGGTCCTGCACCTCCCACGGGAGCCCCTGAACGGGCTTCGACAGCATCGTAAGGCTCGCCATTGTAATTTGCATCGAAGAACTTCTTGAACCACTGAACGAATTCGAAGTTGTCCTGAAAAATTCAATAGAACTCGAGAAACCGAGAGAATTGCCTGGAATCTTGATCACGTGATCAGTCGTCGCTTGCATGTTAGGCGCCGCCTTCAGTGCGCGTTGATTCGATTTCAGTCTCGTCAGAACAGTGAGAATTATGGGGGGGGGGGCAATATTGAAGATAGCTAGGTTGTTGAAATTCCCGATCACTGACTTCACTACTGAGTTTCATGCGGAGAGCCCTCCACCGGGTGGTGTTTGGCGAAGCCCACCGTAATCAGTGAATCGCTGGAACACTTCCTGCGATCCATATTTCGTTCTTGAGGGAGCTCGACTTCGAGAGCTGCGACACTCGCGAATTTTCTACTGGCACGGCACCCGCAAGGAATGAAGAAATCACTTCGTACCTGGAAGCGTCCCTTGACCAGTCGGTCGACCGGGATATTCTTGTCGACTCCAACTTTCTTGAAAGCGGCTTGGAGGATCTTGAAGTTCTGGATGTATTCGTGCTCCAAGTTCGTCTTGAATTTGACTTTCTTCAGCTGGACACAGCCCGAAAAAAGCATATCCATGAACTGACAATAGGCAGCCCCTGAGCACAACTCTTCAATCTTCGTGTAGTGAGTTTTCAGGCAATCGTTCACCCATGCCAACATGTCATGACGCGACAGGTTCTCAGTCGTGCACGACGTGGCGTACACGTTGACGCACATCGGAGTGTCTGTCATGGCCTGCAATGGGGAAAGCTAGCGTCAACAATTTCGAATGATCATGGTAAGGTTCATCGAAGGGGATTACGCGGATCTAGCCTACGCGGACTATCTCCGTCAGGTTACTGTCATCAAGCTCATATCCGGAGCGGGGGGAATCCACGAACCGACGCCTCGTCTGCCCCCATCTTCTCGGGAACGCGGACGAAAATAATCCCGGCACAAGACACCGCTACGGTCGAGTTCCTAGATGACAGGCATTCGTACTGGTCGTCTGTCAAACCCAGCTATGAACACTAAGCCAAGAACGACTCGTAGGCTCGTCACACTAATTATCTCCGTGCCCAGCCGTGCTGTTTGAGCTGCGGAGTTCGCACGACATCACGAAATACAGATGAATGAAAAGTCCGGTAACGGCGTGAGCCGCAGCAGTGGTAAGTGTGTCAAGCGTCCGCCCACAGACATCGCTCCACCACTGAACGTTCCGGTGGACCTGTTAGCTCTGACAACGGTCAGTGGTCAAGAAAACGTATGGGTTTACATCTCTTTTTGGGGAGCGCTCACCACTCCTAACCTCGGAGACAAGGCTAAGGATACACTCGTCCCCGCTGTCACGGGGTGCGGTCTCGAAAGTTAATTTTCGGAACGGTCCACCAGAAAGGATACCCCAGCGCGAGAAGTCATCGAGACACTCGCGACTCATGAGCCGAATATGCTCGGCACACCATTAAAGGCATGTGCTATCCGGACCCGTTAGGCGGACTGTATCCGCAAAACGTCAAACGCTCGCTCATGTGGATGCTGCCGGGCTGTAAGAACTAGCTAATGGCCTGAGAATAGAGTTGCTGACCGAAGTCTCACTTACTACGTCTTCTGTTGGTTCTCTATCATCAAGACTTGTCCGGTCTTCGCCGGTCAATTCGCTGATTTCGGAAACTCTCGCTGACCGTCGCCCGGAGCAACGGCAGGACAACGACTAGCGATTCCAGCCTATGGTTTCAATACGAAACCACTCGTTTCGAGCCGGCGCGCCAATATTTCAATCCGTACCCATGTGTGTGGATAAGCGGCGGGAGAGCCTGTGATCGAGTGTTGGAGTAAGATCAAGATATCCGTCGATAGCAGCCGCGGCTTTTCCGCGGATTCCTGCAGAAGTCGTCTATGAGCGAGAGCAACCCTCTGCGAAATGCCTCGAGGTTCTGATGGCCAGGATAAATTCATTAGCCGTACGACGTACGATGATGTCGAACGTGATGAACCGATCTCAATTCATGATCGCCATCGGGGACCTGATGCCGCGCCCCGATTCGATCCCCCCTGGGAGATGAACGGACGCTTCTTGAACGCGTCCAAGCTGCGCTCGATCTCTGAGTCTCCCTCACGAGCGAGCGTAGTCCGTCCGTAGCGCCTCGAATCATCAGCAAGAGCAGACAGCCTCACCCCGGATGATCTTTTCTATAAACATTTCGAACTCGCTCTCTATTCCATTGTTCATGTTGGAGACGGTCTCTGAAACTTGTTCAGTACTGTCTGACTGCTCGAGATTCCCAGAATGAAGGGGATGAAATCAGCTCGAAAGGCCGTGGAGAAAGTCATTCATACGACACCTCTCAAGACTTACGTTCCAGCCGGTGAGCCTAAGACACCTTCGGGAACGTTATAGCGCACCTTCCGACTCTAATACCATATCAGAATATTTTTTTCTGAAATATTTCTTTTCCTAGGCATGGCTATTCCTGGTCCTCCATTAGGACCTCAACTCGGTCAAAGAGGCGTGAATATCGCCGCGTTCTGCAAAGACTTCAATGAGAGGACAAAAGATATCAAGAAAGGCATACCGATCCCGTGCAAAATTTCCCTCAACGCTGATCGATCGTACACGCTCGAAACCATCAATCCGCCGATACAATATTTCGTCATGCAAGCTGCGGGATTGCAGAGAGGTGCCCAGTTTCATGGAAGAGAGGTGACTATCCAATGGCCTTGTATACGGAGGTTCCCTCCGAATTCACCGTACACTCATGTATTAACTGATATACTTTCCCGCGGGAGGTGACTCCTCATTGCACTCCCCCCTTTACGTATACAAACAGATCCGAAGTAATCCTCGCCCCCTTTTCGGTGATTGCGCCGTATAGCCGGGAAGCAACAATTTGTTTTCGAAAAGTGACTCGCGATCACTGGATACCAGAAGCACGCGAGATACAGATTCCATCCAGGACGACGTTTTCGGTTAAGTAAGGCGCCGCAGAACCACCGGAGGGTCTCGCGGAACCCCAGGCAAATCCTCCAGGTACCCCAAGAGGAGCCTCGGTCAGGAGGACTCCAGGGGCTCCGAGCAACAGCAGTATTGAGATTCCCCGATGGACGCTCTGTGGAGGCAGTCGTCTATATCGTGGCTCTGCAGCCGAACTCAGCGCTGCGAGGAACTAGTCGTGAATTCCAATGGTTATCCTCTGCATTCCTCTTCCTCTCAGGTTGCTGGAATGATCTCCTTGAAACACGTTTACGAGATAGCGAAGATCAAGTCTGAGGACTCCATCTATGATTGTGTTCCTCTGAAGGATATTTGTCAGGAAGTCATGAGGGTAGCGTTCACTTGCGGAATAGAGGTCAGTGGATTCTAGGCTTAAGCAGTTGAGCAGGACGATGAGCATAATGCGCTAAAAACGCTTCTCTTGCCAGGTCGTTCCGAAACTGACTGCTGAAGAAATCGAGGCAAAACAGGAAGAAAGGAAGGATGTTGTTGCGAATCAACTCGCGGCGATCGAAGAGAAACGACAAGCCAAGTTACTCCGGATTTCTGCGTAGGCCTCTTAGCTCTTCGAATAAATATACACCTTGGTGGAATCGCCTCATTGATTGAACGCCTGAATCCACGACGGCTGTAGGCTGCCGAATAATCACTCCTCTGTCTCCAATGGTATCAGAGGTGATGAAAATCTGTTTCTTTTAAAAAGGTTTCCATAGATCCGCCCGGCATCCCACTCTGCATGGCTCACGATGCAAATCGACTCTCAGGAAGTCCGGATGCGGATAACTGCATTTATTGAGATTCAACCGAAGATTCTAGACTCTAGGTCCCTGAGCATGCGAGACGGAACACTTCCTCTTCCTCCTTTGCTTCAGATGGGAGCGAAAGCGGCTCTTCTTCCAGAATAAGATTTAGGAGAGGGAGTTGCCCGAAACCCCTTCAGGAATACTGGGGTTCACGCACCTTTCCGGATGACGTGAGCGTATCCATTCCCGGAGACATTCGATTCAAAGCGAAGGGATCAGAAACCTATTCTACAATGAGTCAACTCTCGCGACTGATGAGGCCGCCGCTTCCCCTCCTGTAGTTTCCAATGGGCGGCTACATTCGGAGCTTGACCCCCGATCTACGAATCGAATCGGCCGAAAAGTCTCGCGAACAAGTTAATCCCCTGAGCCGGTGATATACGAACGAATCTAATTTATTTGGGTTGTCTTCAAACTATTCTGTAGGTGACATCATCTCTATGTGGCACGGACTGCAGCTCCAATTTCACCGGACATTTCAAGACGTAGCTGAGGAGCTCTTCAGTGTAACCGGTGAGAAAATAGATCTTCCGCGGCAGAGTAGATTGATCGATTACACCTCCGACGTATATCATGTTGTGCCTTCTTTTCACGATGACTTCAGTCAGGAAAAGCCGATGAAAAGTTCCAAACATGAACTTCCTAATGAACATGTCGTCCATGACCGTCTCGGCGGTGCGAACTCCATCGAGCATACCGCCAGTGTTCCATGAGAGCCATGATTTCCTGCGAGGTAAAGATCGAATTGAATGGGATGCGAGGCGGTCACCTGTCCTCGATAATCGAGAGGAGGTATCTCGGTAACCGACCAGTAATGTGACTCGAATTCTATGAGGAGGCTCGACGACTCGGTGTGCGCGGAACTCCTGGCGACTCACCAATGAGCGATCAAGTAGGGCGGACAGGCTTGCTCGTAAGTAAGATGTTTGCCCTTATGTTTCGACGGCTTGTACCGACCGGCTTGTTTTTTACACAGAGAATTCGTAGTAGAAAACGCTCTCCTAGAAAACCACGCAAACATTCCTGGTAGCCTGTCGTAGTAGAACCGTGAACGGGCGTACGATTCTTCGGCGGGGAGCAGCGAGCAGGGAAGGGAGCATTCAAGCAGATGAGTACAATGTTATGTTTACCTGTGCTCGTGTCTGGGAAATAGTGCTACTGCGGACTGCGGAGCTAAGGCTGTTGAGCTGATGATATTTGGTGATCTGGCACGGTGTGAGCAGCAGAGGCCGATAAGAAGGCTGAATTGACGTCTCGTCGCCGACTCTCTTGAAGGGAAATTATACATCGCTCACAGTGTTCTCCGTGGTAAGTTTGAATTGCTGCCCAAAACTGCAGTGTTCAGAGTACGAGGTTCCGTGTCCCACATCCAGGTGATCAGCGATATATCTTTCAGGCCCTGTCACCACACGAAAATGGTACTGTTGTCGGCATCTGTCATCACGAAGTCCGGCAAGGCGCTTGCTTCTAGGCATTTCATCGAAATCAGCCGCTCTAGGATCGAAGGGCTACTGGCCGCGTTCCCGAGACTCTTAGGCAAGAGTGCGAAACAGCATACCTTCGTGGAAACAGATGCTGTTCGCTACGTTTACCAGCCCCTGCTGGACAAGCTCTACATGGTTCTCATAACGACGAAAACCTCTAACATATTGGAAGATCTGGAAATGCTTCGCCTCTTCGCGAAGGTTGTCGCCGAGTACTGCCATTCTTTGGAGGAGAGTGATGTGATCGCTTCTTCACTACAGCTGATTTTGGCCTTTGACGAATTGGTCGCTATGGGCTACCGTGAAAATGTAACCCTTGCTCAGATTCGAACGTTTGTGGAGATGGACTCTCAGGAAGAAAAAGCCGCAATCGCTGCAAGAATGAGTCAAGAACGAGAAGCGAAACTTAAAATGAAGGAGAAAGCGAAAGAACTCCAGCGTCAACGAGTCGAAGCTGCGAAGAAGGGCCTCATCAACCGCGGAGGTACGGCCATAAGCTCTGGCGGTTTCAACTCTTCGTCTTTCCAATCCGCGCCAATGGTTGCAACCACCGAATCGACACCGAAGAGCAATTACCAGGCAAAAGCGAAATCGTCAGCATCGAAGGGTCTCAAGCTCGGTTCCAAAGCAAAGGAGTGGGACCAATTTGCGAACCAGCTCAAGCAAGAGGGCGAGCGAGTTGCGTCCGTGAATCCCTCTCAGGCTCACGCCAAAGGCTCAACGTCTCCCGTGAACTCCGCACAGCAGCCGGACCGAGAAGCAGTGCATCTGACGAGCGACGAGAAGGTTCGCTCTCCATGATCCTCGATACCGCTTTAATTCGAAGACTTTTCATTTTTGGGGCCTCGCATCCATATGGGGAGGTCCCGACTCCATACGACTCTGATCCAACTTATAGCAATCTAATTTCCGATGTTCCCCTTTAGATTACCTGCAGACTGCAGCGGGAGGGCGGGCTCCAATCGCTCGAAGTGCATGGCATGTTAACCCTCCGGATCTTCGAAGAAAATGCTGCTCTCGTGAGAATTCAAATGGAGAACAAAGACACTCGGAATTTCCAATTCAATCAACATCCCAACATAGATAAAGAACTTTTCCGGCAAGCCGGCTGCATTGGCTTGAAGAGTGCTGGGAAGGCTTTCCCGGTGAATGCAGACGTCGGCGTTCTGAAGTGGAGATTACAAAGTACTGACGAATCTCTCGTTCCGCTCTCTGTTAACACATGGGTAGGTTGAGCGCGAAATAGCGGCGTTCCCTCAGAAGATATTCGCCTCACCCCCCTTCTGGGAGCTAACTCAAGTCTTCTTGGCCCTCAGGTCAATGACAACGGCAACGGCGGTTGCGAATGCAATATCGAGTATGAGCTGACTCAACCACAGCTTCAACTGACAAATGTGACTATATCGATTCCTGTTCATGGAGGCTCGCCAACGATCGCCGAATGCGAAGGTATTTTTTCTCCCGGCGTAAAGTCTAGAACTGGTGCTCCGCTCGAAGAGACCCCGCAAGAAGGTAGTGGAACCTGGAGCCTCGAGCATGGCTGCTACTGAAGAAGAATGGAATCCTCTGCTCAAGAGCCCTGTTCCGAGAATTCTCGGGAGCCTTCGATGAAATTCGTAAATTTCCCCGAGGCCCGATCAATCTGTCCCTTCCCAACGATCGATGCGACGCGCTCGTCGTTGAGCAAGTTTCTCCGGGACTCCCTCGCTAAGAGGAGGCGGCGTCGGATCACAATTGAGGCAGGCGGCCTGGAACGAGCTTCGGACCCCTAACGAGATCAATGATAAACTTCGAGATGGAGGGCTCGTGTCGGGGATGCATGTCCCTGCACGACGAACCGATATGAAACGGAAACAACGACCTAGTAGGGCAGATTCTCCTCTGCAAAATGAGCTTTCGAAGCAGAGAAAATGAGCTTGTGATCGATGATCTCAGATCGCATTCTTGGTCCCTTTCGGCCGTGAATCTCCGATGGAACGATCAGAAAGCTCCGTGAGTCGCGGTTGCTCATTCCATGCTCAGACTTGCGCATCTGCCAACGGCAAACGCCCCCTAATCCCTCGTGTTCGGTGGAGAATCCAGTGGCTCAGAGGAGTTCCGATCGGACCATGTGTACTTCGCGTGCAGGACACTGTTCTCAGCATACCTGTTCAATGAGGAAATTCACTACTCGTAGGTTGCTATTTCGCAGCCAAGTGAAGAGAAAGCGAGATGGTCCCGATTAGGTTAGGAGTGTGCGGAAATTCGGGAAATGAATATGAAAGCTCAAACTACCATCATTCTTGCAATTCCAGGTGACTACAATTTCGATGCGCGTCGAAATGTTCTTGAGTGGAAAATCCAGCTCATCGATTCCGGCTCTCCTGGGGGAGTGATCGAATTCGTAGCTTGTGGCCGACCAGAAGATTTTTTCCCTATCGGAGTGCAGTTCTCATCGACGACACCGTACTCTCAAATTGCTGTCGCGGGCGTTGTGCACTCAGAATCTAAGCAAGCAGTCAAGTATTCATTGGAACAGAGCTTCATCGCTGAAGCCGATAAGTATCAGATAATTTAGGTGGGGAAGCGGTCCACGAGAACTTCTGCAATTTAATCGAATAAATCTCCTTATCTGAATGGGGGCTCTTCCTTCAACGTGGTGTGAAGAATCTGGTCTCCAAGAAGTCGTACCTGGTCGTCTCCTGTGTTTGGAGTGAACTCACTCACCACAATCGGCGCCGATTCATCACCGGAGAGCTCCAGAGGAATAGGGAAGTCATGCGGAAACTCGGAGCTCTCTGCACTCCTGGAATCGCGCATAGTCCGCAGTCTGTCGAGCAAGCACTTCTGGGAAGTGGATTTTTTTCGGTCTAAGATGAGTGGTCTCATCATTGAGATCGCTCCTCGGGCATTTCGGCTTTACCTCTCCCTTGACTGCTATGCTGGAATCAGCGTTCATTCGTACGCGAAAGCGAATCAGGATTTGGATCTTGAGGGAGGGAGTTGTGCCAAGTGCCGAAATTCCGCGGGTCCAATGTCTTCGGTTTTGTTCCCATCTTACGGTTTTCTAGATTCTGGCTTCTGCGATCATTGCCGGAAGATTCGTGCGACCATATTCCGCTCCGGATGATGTGATGTATCCCTGGTTGGAGTGAGTGACTCCGAGCCTCCAGCAAGTAGATAACAACCTGTTCGCGCAGCCTCCCACGAGGCGATCGAAAGGAGGCTGAAGCCCCTTGGCAGACGGGAAGAGCGATCCCTGTGAGCTAGCAATATGGGACGGGGGCTCACGAGCGGATTTGAAAACGTTATCGAGTTCCGGACAGTTCCCCAAGAGCACGCTTCTACTGTATCTAGGTATTGGGACAACTCGGGAGCTGCCGACGAGACTCAAGGATCGCGGAAGCTTTAAGATATTCGGAAGGAGACACATGGAGCAAATCCCGATCAGGAGTTCAGAGAGGGAACGCTGAAGCAGCTTTCGTTCGTCGAACACTGAATCATCGACTGCGGAGCTCGATATTCACTCGTGCTGAATGTTCCATATGGAGCCAATTCAGGGGAGGAGGCGGGCGCTGCTCCGCCATTCGGACTGAGAGTTTCTGAAAAATCTGAATTTCCCGGCCTGCGTCCGATATTTTCTCTCCGTTGTGCCACGACTTGAGACCCGTAGTCCTCGCATCTTGCTGACAACTCTCCTGATGTGACCAATATCTTCAGAGTATCGATAGACGCGAGACACTGATTTCGGGTAGAAGAGCCTCTTTATTCACTAAGAACTCCTTCAAACGTGCTCGCTCTGTTTCGTGCATCGGTCTTGCCCCTTAGAACACATACATACATAATATGAAGAAGTTCCCTTTCCCCGGGACGAGGGGCGTAAAGAAAAATCTCGTACGCTCAGGGAAGTACTGAACTTTTCATCGAGCATGGCATCAGACAGCCGAGCTAGTTCCGAGCTGCCTCAAAGTTAGGGGGCCTCTAGCTGTTCGACAGCTCATCCGTTTTCTCCCGCAATTAGCGACTTTGCATTATTTGTATACACAGTCCACAAACTCATTAGCCCGGACTGCAATCGGGACAATCACAATAGAGCGCATCCCCATTCAGAACGAGAAGGAGTACCCCCTAGAATATTTTTGTCATTATTGAGCCCCGGCTTCGAGGACTCCTCAGCAACGTAGAAGGGAGTCGGTGGCTTTCCGTTAGCTTCAACGGTGCGTTGTAAAATCACGACTCCCGGTGATCAGGCGATGCCGATTCCTGCCTCGCCAATTATATTCCAACCCGCATGAGTTAGTCATGATTGGCATCCGATATGCATAATGCAGAGGCAAGGTCGATTCAAATTTGGAACAAGCCGACACGTGTGTGTTGTCAGCAACCACCGAGCATTTCAATCACATACTTCCCTCATTCAGCTGTGTAGGCAAACTCTGGATGGTGAGATAACATCCCTCGAGCGCGATTCCGTTCTGGGACGGTAATGAAATTGTATCCGGTGAAGGGGAATCCGTCACTGTATTCAGGTGCGAGAGTTGTGGCAGCGAGCCAAATTTTCTGAAACGAAAGCAAAAAGCTCAGGCTGCGTGTTTGGTCCTCCTTCCGACAATACCATCATCAGCGTCCGATCGTTCACACTCCTCGGGATTGGATCCGTCGTTCGGTGTAAATCGATGTCTTTGGAGGACACATCGTCCAATATCTTACCTGATGCGTATTTTCGTGTGCTTCCCGAACATCGGCGATACGGAGAGTCGGCTGAGATTCGAATTAGAAGAGCGGAACGTAGCCGACCGCCGGAGTAGCGCAATAATAAAAGGAGACCGCGGGCTCCCTGAAGGGGAAATCTTCAGGAGACAGATGGCTTGCTTCCGGAGGTTGCGATTTAGGAGACCGTACAACATCGGGTTGAGGACATAGCCCAGAAAAGAAAGCCAAAGACTCGCGATTCCTGCAAAATCGGGGATTGTCTGTGAGATTCGGACGACTTCCCAACCGAAATTCCAATCAAGTCAGTGTCTTGATCCGATGACTCACTGTAAGTTTTGGACGACGAGCTGTATGATTCGCCCCTCGAAGACAGAATCACGGTGAACAACTGAACAAGAGTTTCCGGCATTATGAAGCTCACGAAAATGGTGGCGGCGAACAGTAGGGTTTTCGCGGCTTTCGAGAAGATGATTCGACGCGCAGCTTGCAGACTACTCGGGATTGGTATCAGAGCCCGTCGAGACTTCTCACACTGTTCGACTCGGCGAGCGACGCGGTACACCAATATATGAATACTCAGTATCCCTGAAAACATTGCAGATTGCATTAGGGGCTAGTTCAAGAGCTTGAGTCGAGTCGAATAAATATCCGCCGAGGACTTGACCGACGTTGACAATCTTCGACGTGATCTTCGGCTGGGTGGGATTTCGTATGATGCTAAACGTATGTCGGTAATGACTGACTTATGAACCCACCTATGGTAGGGAATATAATCCCCAGCAGTAGGGCGCCGATTATGTAGCTTCTGGAAGAGGGTTGTTGATCGTGGAGCTTATGCCAACAGTGCATGGACTCGGGGTCGAAGCCGAAAGATGGGGGACCGAGACTAGCAAGAGGTACGACAGCTATGGCCAGAGATACCATCCACACAACGAGGATGGAGATAGCTGCGCGCAACGTGAGTTCTGACGAGCGGCGGTCTCCTCGAGGCGCCATGGGCCAAGCGACTTGAACGAATCTGAGGGGAAGGAAGCTCGGTACATACCAATCCATGTATCTGTCTATCTATCGTGAGCGTCAGAGAGCGCTGACACCTCTCTGGAGCGAGCGAGCGAGCGATCTAGCCGAGGCGGATCTATTGAAATTCTACATAGATTCGATGATCCCAGCCTGCCATCACGTTCCCCCAAACATTCACGCCGCGGTGATCATCCCAAAGCGATGCAAATCGCGTGCTCCATCGTCCTCATTTAAACAGAAAACTATCAATGACGGAAGCGGCATCGAGCGTACCATGGTCGGCGTGAGGTACGATCCGGACCGCAGCCTAGCACGTTGGAACCGCGATCCCAGCAAACGAGTTTCAGAGGACGGTAATCTTTCTGATGAGAACAGACGATCCTTGTGGCGTTCCATTCTAACAATTAGTGGAGTTCTCTTTAATGCCTCTGACCTTTCTTGATAACCGCCCATTAGAGCGAGCAGGCTCCTGGAGGTCTCATCCACCCGTTTAAGAATGTTCCGGAGGAAGGAAAAAGTCACTAAAACTCTGTCTTGATTTGCGCCCGCAACGTTGAGAACGTGCGATCTCAGAGCTTGTTCGTAAGGAAAGTTCTCCCGTGATGATTGCCGAGTTCGACGACAGATTCCGCGCCTCTGGTTTCTCGCAATGTCATTTTGTCGCTCTCGTGTACCACAGTCGACGGGCAGGGTGAGGCGGGACGGATATGTCGGAAAGTGAGACTGAATACGGCTCACTGTCTGGCCATGGAGGCTGTCGCATTGTTCCGAAGATCGACTGCGAAATCACTCGGGCGGCAATGATGAGATACCACAAGCTAGATATTGGATATGTGAGCATATCATCTCGCAAATGGGTGGAACATACCTCTCGGTGGTGATGACGAGTGAAGTTATAACGCTGTTGAAAAGGAGCAGGGATGTGAAGAACCCTAGGGGTTCGCAGAATGCTCCAACCGTGTTCGTGTGACCATACAAGTTGGCCAACGAAGGCGTCATGACGAGTATCGAGGCAAGTATTCCATTGAGCGACAGGTTGATGACTGCCAAATGATCAACACTTCGACGAAGCTGTTGGCACGACACGGTCACGAGCAACAAAAAACTGTTGCTCACCAGCGTAGATAAGGTCAATAGAGTCAGAAGAATCAGAATGGCCGGATGAATTCGGTCTTCAGCGGTGACTTCTGACATCGTCTACCGGCTCATCTCGTCTCGGTCCCACACGTGCCACGCCTGCTGTCCATAACCACACCCTGGGATTGCGGTGCAGTCGTCTAACTATCTGTTCATCTACCTCCCAGGCTGGATCTGACATCGACGAGAGATCACTAGGTTCGGTCGGAGAGAGCAGGGGTAAGGGCGAGCTAGGTGTTCAAGATGATGCTGGTGAATAGAGACGTACCAGCTCCAATCCACGCTAGGCTCCTTTCGGATGTTTCATCGTTCCCTTAGCAGCAACGACGCATCAGCAGCGCACGAGACTGAATCAATTTGAATATCGCGACGATCGTACAATGAGCGAACTCGGCAGCCGCCGGACAGAGGAAACGGACATTGTGACGTCGACATACATGAATGATGTCTGAGCTGAGCTCGAGGCACACCCCGGGCAATGGTTGTCTTGACGCGGATACGTACTCCGATCCGCGAGCAAACAAGAATTGAGCATCCGCGGGCGATGAGTCGCAGGAACCCTCGCGCAAGAGATTGTCATGCGACCTAATTATATCCCTCGTTAGAATTTCTCTCGGAGACTTTCTCTTCACTGAGCCAACGATTTCCGCGTTTTGGCCGACCTGACTTCTTGAACGTGAAGAGAAGCTTAATTTGGCTGAGCGGTCGTCCGACGGCGATACGATTTCCAGTCCCCAACCGCTATCCAATCTCTCGCGCGAAGTACAATGCCGAGATTCACCGATCGGTGTCCCGCACTGCTCAGGGATATTCCAGACCTTCGTACGGCCGAGCTCCGCCTCAAGCGACAAGCTACC